CAGTTTACATCAACATGCTTCCATGTTTTGTCTATCCCTCGTAAACACGCAGACTATCTTTATTAATCTTCCGCTAGTAGTTTTCCGTTGTCTTGCTTAGTTACCAGTCTGACTTTGTCGTGGTTTTTAAAGTCATTCTTACCCCCCCCCCCCACTTAGCTTGTGGTCACTATAACAACAGTCCCCACCCACCCCCGTAAGATGACCCTTGTAGCTGCCTGTACTATTTGATCAGAGCAAACAACCTGCATGGATTAAATCAGATGCTCAGCACGCGTGCACTCATTATTGATTAATTTTCTCGCCGGCACTTGCAGACATTCCAGCTTGATTAACTACCTGTATGTCCCAGGTAAGTCTGTGTAGCGCTGTTTCAAAAATACACGAAGACGATGTGGACACACCAAAATCTGTTGCAAACATTCGACACAGCTGTGCGGGAATTCCCCATTCTGTTCCCCTTTCCATTCTTTTCTATCTCAAGTGTTTAGATGAATGGGGCCAGTGATTCAGTTGTCTGACGGTTTCATAGACACACATTCAAGTATTTTTAGCGTCTAAACAAGAGAGATTCTAATAGCGTTATTACCTGCTAAAGGGAAATTTAGACTTGTTATTAATGAGGACTGGGATATTATTTACATCATGTATGGGTAATTCATTATGCGAAAATGTTTATTTTTTTGCGTCTTTTTAAACTCTACAAGTTCTATTGGTGTCTAGTAGATCTGTAGCTCTGTGGATCGCTACAGATAGTTTACATTGCTGTTGTTATTTAGCGGATTTTAATTAGATAACATCACGAACTTTTTTAAATTTTTGGGGTAAATGGGGAAGAGGTTGTTTTCATCGTCTGTCGAATTATCCCCCTTTGTTGAGAGGTTGAAGGTTACCCTCTGCTCCATATGGCAGGTAAACCCTAATGGCTTTCTTGGTCATACATTGTTTACGAGGGGCGGGTTTTTTTAATGGAGGGCCGTGGACAAGTGCTCCATTAATGCTGATGATTCTAAGGCTGATGGATCAATAGGTTTCTGTCTAACTTTGATTAATTCAAGGCTTGGGTAAAATGTTTAACTTGAGTTTTTAACATCATTACATATATTCTTTTACCATGAGAAACAATTTGTATCACCATGATATACAGAGCTTGTATCACCATGATATACAGTTTAGTTAACTCGACCTTCAGCGCCAAATACAAACCTCGTATTGTTGTTTATTACTTTCTTTATATCACCATGATATATAGGAGTGGCGTCACAATGTAAGGGAGGAGGGTTCGGTCTGCACCATTTAGGGGGCGACACATCCCCGTAAGCTTTTCTGCCAAAACAATATTTTATGTTAGGGGGATACCCTTAGTTACCGCAACAGGTGACGCCCGACCTATAGTAATGTTCATGATAGCAGGTTATATTGCTACATCATTTTCAGTTTTGTATCCCCACGATGTGCTGTCTGTATCCCCAGCGTTTTCTTTGAATTGTAATTGACGTATGTTCTGTGTATAAACCCAAACTTTCTCGTTTGTCCTTGCTTGAAGTCGTCAACACTTGTTTGATCTCGTGACTTGCGTGAGGCACCCATCAAGTATTCTAGTAATTATGTATGCTCGGCAACCAGAGGCTGGGGCTCGAAGATTCACTATTTCGGTGGTTGACGGCATCGTGGTAGATAGTGTTTGATGTAGCAGACGGCATTGTGTTAGATATAGTTGGATGTAGCAGACGGCATTGTGTTATATAGTGTTGGATGTAGCAGACGACATTGTGTTAGTTATTGTTGGATGTAGCAGACGGCATTGCGTTATAGTTGGATGTAGCAGACGACATTGTGTTATAGTTGGATGTAGCAGACGACATTGTGTTAGTTATTGTTGGATGTAGCAGACGGCATTGCGTTATAGTTGGATGTAGCAGACGACATTGTGTTATAGTTGGATGTAGCAGACGACATTGTGTTAGTTATTGTTAGATGTAGCAGACGGCATTGTGTTATATAGTGTTGGATGTAGCAGACGACATTGTGTTAGTTATTGTTGGATGTAGCAGACGGCATTGTGTTAGTTATTGTTGGATGTAGCAGACGGCATTGCGTTATAGTTGGATGTAGCAGACGACATTGTGTTATAGTTGGATGTAGCAGACGACATTGTGTTAGTTATTGTTGGATGTAGCAGACGGCATTGCGTTATAGTTGGATGTAGCAGACGACATTGTGTTAGTTATTGTTGGATGTAGCAGACGGCATTGCGTTATAGTTGGATGTAGCAGACGGCATTGTGTTAGGTATAGTTGGATGTAGCAGACGGCATTGTGTTAGATATAGTTGGATGTAGCAGACGGCATTGTGTTATAGTTGGATGTAGCAGACGACATTGTGTTAGTTATTGTTGGATGTAGCAGACGGCATTGCGTTATAGTTGGATGTAGCAGACGACATTGTGTTCATTGTGTTAGATATAGTCTGATGTAGCAGACGGCATTGTGTTAGATATAGTTGGATGTAGCAGACGGCATTGTGTTAGGTATAGTTGGATGTAGCAGACGGCATTGCGTTATAGTTGGATGTAGCAGACGGCATTGTGTTAGGTATAGTTGGATGTAGCAGACGGCATTGTGTTAGATATAGTTGGATGTAGCAGACGGCATTGTGTTATAGTTGGATGTAGCAGACGACATTGTGTTAGTTATTGTTGGATGTAGCAGACGGCATTGCGTTATAGTTGGATGTAGCAGACGACATTGTGTTCATTGTGTTAGATATAGTCTAATGTAGCAGACGGCATTGTGTTAGATATAGTTGGATGTAGCAGACGGCATTGTGTTATAGTTGGATGTAGCAGACGGCATTGTGTTAGATATAGTTGGATGTAGCAGACGACATTGTGTTAGATATAGTTGGATGTAGCAGACGGCATTGTCTTAGATATAGTTGGATGTAGCAGACGGCATTGTGTTATAGTTGGATGTAGCAGACGGCATTGTGTTAGATATAGTTGGATGTAGCAGACGGCATTGTCTTAGATAAAGTTTGGTTTGGCAGACGACTTTATATATTCCTAAATATGGGTGTAGCAGCAACATTGTGTTCGATTTTTATTAGATTCAGTGGGTGCAATAGTTTCTTTAACTGTGTGAAACCTAGCTGTAGATTTAACAGAAACTAAGAAATTAAATGTCCATCGTTGCAGTGAAATTACATTGTGTAAACCGGTAGCGATTAAACTAGTTTCACAAAACTACCAGTGCTTATATATTTGACGGACATCGATACAAGTTCACACTTGAAATACCGGGGCTCACCCAGACAACTCACCCCACCCCGCCATATTACTCGCCCTTCGTCTTACGACCTCCAGGACACGCCCATGCCGGGAGTGCCGTAGTTGTTTCCCTTCACTGCCCCGCACTGCACGGCCGGCCATGTATCGCAAGGTTTTCCCGCGTTATTCCCGTGTGAGTAACTACGGGCAGATGACGGTTACCGCGGCAGACGGCCTGCGCATTAGCTGGATTCCTAAAGGGCTCCATATAGAGTTATCTAAAGTGAAGGTAGGGACCGGTCGCCTGGCGCTCTAGTGACATACCAGGGTATTGTGGCAGGGTACCACATCGAAGGTGTAGTTGTTTGAATAGCGTTGGTAGACACGCTTCCGATAATCAATACAAGAGAGTGAATGAACCAACATTAACTAGCGGGTGAACGATATCCTAGTCAATGATTTATGGCTGTAAGCTGACGCTGGGTATAGCTTGTTGGCATGTAAGGTACATAGGTTAGTCGGGGCGTCGTTAGCTGGTTATATATGGTTAGTCTTGGGGCATCGTTAGCTGGTTATATATGGTTAGTCTGTGTGGTTAACTGGTTATATAGGGTTAGTCTTGAGGTGTCGTTAGCTGGTTATATATGGTTAGTCTGTGTGGTTAATTGATTATATGGGGTTAGTCTTTTGGTGTCGTTAACTGGTTATAAAGGGTTGGTCTTGTGGTGTTATAGTTAATCTGTGTGGTTAACTTGTTATATATGGGTTAATCTGGAACAAGATATGGTTATTCTGTGGTCAGTTGGTTACAAATTGGTTATTCTGTGTGGTTATGTAGTTACACACTGGTTAGTCTGTATGGTTAAATGGTTACACATTGGTTAGTCTGTGTGGTTAACTGGTTACACATAGGTTAGTCTGTATGACACTAAGTGACTAACTGGTGATACATGGTTAATCTTTATGAATAGATGTGGTTAACTTTGAACCCCTAGATTAGTCTGTATGACACTAACTGGGGATACATGGTTAACCTTATGAATAGATGTGGTTAACTTTGAACCCCTAGATTAGTCCTTACAGCCCACACATGCTAATAATGGCAAGTGTTAATGCTGCATGTGTTTGTAGTGTGGGGTTGATGTGAATCACTGTGTTCACTTGCTCCATGTAATCAGTGGGGGGGGACCACTAGAAGGGAATATATTTACACTATGTGCTTTATATTTTTTGATTGAATAGGTGTACTGATTTTAGCTGTGTTAGCATTTTATTCAGGAAATTTGGATCTATTTATTGATCTCGGCTTTAGTAATGATCTCAATTCTTATTATTGATCTAGTCTTCAGGAATTAAATCTGATTTTCTTTAATTGATCTAGTCTTTAGTAATGTAATCTTAGTTCCTTTAATTTAACTAGTCTTTAGTAATGTAATCATAGTTCCTCTTTTAAATTTAATTTTTAGAAAATTTAAATCTAAGTTCCTTTTATTTATCTATTCTTTAGAAATGTAATATTTTTGATGATCTAGAGTAACAATTTACTAATTTGATTTGTGATGTAAACATTTTTATTCATCAATGTAGAAAGAGATCCATTGTTGGATGCAGGTCTACACTGTTCTAAAGCCAAATATTTGCTTCTTTGTTTAAATATCTGTCAGTTTGACTCTATCCGCTATCCACAACTTTATCCTTGTTTATACATCTGTATACCTGTCTCTATCCACAGCTGGATACACTGCGTATCCAATATGAGCATCAGATCTCTTCCTTACAAAGACAATTGGAAGCTGAGAGAAGAAACAACAAGGAACACATGGATTACAGGCAGCAGGAATATGAGCAGGTCAGTGCCTAGGTTTTACAGGTGTGGTCAGCTATAGGTGGTGTGGCCAGCTGTAGGTGGTGTGGCCAGTGGAGGGTATTGTACAATGTTGGGTGGTGTGTCCTATGATGGGCAATGTATTCAGTACTGGATGGTGTGTTCAGTTGTGGGTGGTGTGGCCAGCTGTGGTCAGCATATAGTTGTAGGCGTTGTGTGTTGTGGTGTGCTTTATCTAATGGTATTGGAAGTGTCCATTATATATGGATATGTGCACTAGTGGACAATAATTTGTCCACTAATTATTGAATTATGGGAATGTATGATCATGCAGTAGAGTGCATGTGATTATTAACCATGTATATGTATGATGTTTGCTGGTGTTATATGTCTAGTATATTGTTTATGTATATGTATGATGTTTGCTGGTGTTTTTATGTCTAGTATATTGTTTATGTATATGTATGATATTTTCTGGTGTTATATGTCTATATATATATGTATATTGTGCATGTATATGCATGATGTTTGCTGGTGTTATATGTCTGGTATACTGTATGTCTAGTATATTGTGCATGTATATGTATGATGTTTGCTGGCGTTATATGTCAAGTATATTGTATGTCTAGTATATTGTGCATGTATATGTATGATGTTTGCTGGCGTTATATGTCTAGTATATTGTATGTCTATTATATTGTGCATGTATATGTATGATGTTTGCTGGCGTTATATGTCTAGTATATTGTATGTCTAGTATATTGTGCATGTATATGTATGATGTTTGCTGGCTTTATATGTCTAGTATATTGTATGTCTAGTATATTGTGCATGTATATGTATGATGTTTGCTGTTGTTATATGTCTAGTATATTGTTTCAGCTCATCACTGAACTGTGTAATGAGCTCAATGAAGAGCAAGAAGTGAGGTTGAAGCAGGTGATATCCCACCTTGTCCACCTACACCTGGGTGAGATCCAGAAGTTACACCTAGAACATCAGGTAAGTGTTGTAGACAAGCGGGGGGGGGGGATTCTGTAATTAAAATGTTTAGAATGATCTAGTCGAGTTAATTAGTGAGTTAATTAGTGAGTGAATTAGTGAGTTAATTAGCCTGAGCTGTTTGTGTGTCAGGATGAGACAGCCCTGGAGCTGACAGCACTGAAGCTGTCCCTGGAACAGATCTACCTGACCAAATCTCAGCTAGAGGTCTCAGAACAACAGAGACATTACCAGCACGAGCTGGAGCTGTTACATAAGCAACATAAAGATGAGCTGTGTAGACTAGCTCTGGTCAAGCCCTCTCACACTTCACCTGGTGAGTACTGCCATATGTATGAATACACCTGGTAAGTATTGCCCAGTGTAGAATAAACTTTGTAGGTACTGCTCAATGTAAGAATACACTTTGCAGGTACTGCCCAATGTAAGAATAGTGCACTATGTATGAATAAATTTTGTAGATACTGCCCATTGTAAAAATACACTTTGTAGCTACTGCCCAATAAATGAATACACCTGATAGGTACACACCAAATACATGTGATTGGTACTGCCCAATGTAGTAGTACACTTTGTAAATAACTGCTCATAGTACCACCCACACTAGGAATACACCTGCCCAATAAATCAATGATTTACTTGTATCTCCCAGTAATTCAGTGCACCAGGTAACTGTGGTCCACCTCAAACCTCACCTGGTTAAATGTGTGATGGCTGTGTTTTTTTTATCTGACCTAGATCTTAACTGTTGTTTGAAAAATGTCACATTTTACCATTTTTCTCCTGAATGGTTTCTCTGTTTCAGATTCTATAGATACTGCAACAAGGTCAATAACAGATGAATACAATCATTTGATCCAGGTAACAAGCATAAAAATGTCTCACCAAACGTTGAAAGAGCATTCACATTGTATCACAGCACATTTATGTTGTCAGTGTAATACAGACAGTAGGCTTAAGATGGACTGGAAAATAAACTGCATGTTTCTTTATCTCAGTGCTCACACTGTCTTTCATTTCTATGAAACGGAAAGAATTGTCTCACATCTTACACTTGAGTCTGTAGGACTTAGTTGATGAGGTCCTGACTTAGTTCAGGTTATAAAGGATATTTATTTATGCTATTCACATGATGGTTTGTGGTCACAGATCAGTTCAGATTTTTACATACCAGTGGTCCTAAATATCACATAACTGTACTGAACAGGTGGCTATCAGTTGGTGTGCCTAGTACAAACATTAGTGTCATACGAAAGTTTATAGCTAGCACTGGTCAGTTGTCCTGATCTGATGTTTGGGTGTGTTCATTCTGTTTTTATGGTTAGGGTGTGTTCATTCAGTTTATATGGTTTGGGTGTGTTCATTCTGTTTTTATGGTTTGGGTGTGTTCATTCTGTTTTTATGTTTCAGCGAATAAGCAAAGATCTGAGTGAAAAATTCAATGGTGAACATTCAGTGGCTGAAGGTATGTTAGATTTTTATTTTTTTAAATTTTATTTTAGAGACAACTGTCATACTAGAACTGAGAACTGGCCTAGACATGTATAAACCACCTGTTGTTTAAATATTTAGCTCTTCATTTGGCTTGTTGCTTCCATTCAAAGTTTTTTCAGCAATATCAATTTAACTTTAAAATCAGAGTAGTTAATTATTTTCTTATCCAAGCCAAGTTTCCCAAACAAAATATTTTGTGCTATTTGTTGTAGAGGTGCAGAAGCTGTTGCTAGGGCAACAAGAGGAGATAATCTCACTGAGAAGCAAGATGCTGACAGAATATGGCTCAGTCCTCCAGTCACGATCTGATGCCATGCTGGAGCAGATGCGACAAGTCACAGAGCTGGAGGAAAAGCTGCAGGAACTCCATGCCCAGTGTGGTGAACAGCTGGTGGGTCTGCAGGAACATGGTAGGTTGTTTTTTAAAGTAATTTGTATTATTTTTGGCCGAGAAAATTGTATACCTTTCATAGCGTACGTCATGATAAGTAGACCTATAGAGCTAAATCAAATTTGTATGAAATAGTTCATTTCTTCATATTAGAAAATTGGAAGATAAGAGAGAGAGAGATGGTGAGTTTTTTTTAACCTGGTGGTTTTTTATTTAAGCTGGTGGTTATTATCAGGCTAATAAATTACGCAAAAATTACATACAGCAAATAATGTATTGAATAAGATCACCTCACCTTTATCTGTATTCTCAGTTCAGTTATTTAGTTTTTGTAAAGTTATTGATGATTTCTGAGAGTAGTAGTAATGTTTTTCTCTCTGAGTAATGTTACATTTTATGAGGATATTGTTATTGTTTTCTGAGAGTATTGTTATTGTTTTCTGAGAGTATTGTTTTCTGAGAGTATTGTTTTCCACCATTCTAGAGGACAGAGAAAACGTTCTAGTCTACCAGAGAAAACTAACAGAGGCAGAGAAAAGAATTTCAGACCTGGAACAACAGCTAACCAACACACTTGAGGGTGATGATGAGTCAACTGACCAGTCCAGTGGCAGCTGGAAGGTGCGTTACCTGCAGCTAGTGGACAAGTACCAAGCCATGCAGGGAGAGATGGTGCAGCAGGAGAGAAAGGTGGATGACCTGACTGAAGAGCTTGAGAAGTTGAGAACCACTGAATCCTACAGCACATACCAGGCCACTGGAGACCACATGGAGTTTATCAGCACACAAGGGATGGGGTTTGGCTATCCCAGGGATTCTAACAACTGCAACAACAACAGCAACAACAACTGCCTGCCCTCCAAGGAAGAGGCCAACATCAACAACAACTCCATATCATCAGAGCATGAGGTGGAGACACTGGGGACTTTGGTCAGTGAGCTAGAGCAGCAACTGACAGCTGCCAGAGCTAAAGAAGATGAACTGAACCATAAGATAGATGAGCTGGAACATGCCCACCAGGAGATGATGCAGGTCAGACCTCAACTCTTGTTTTGTTATATCTATCATTACATCCAAGCTGCCCATTGTTTATACTTGTTTATGTCCTAACTCTCCTCTCCATTGTTTATACTTTTGCAGTGTTTATTTGTTTATTAATTTGTTATAACCTCACTGTTTTGTTTTTGTTTTATTCTCCCCCTTATCAAATTATGTTTAAGCTTGTCTTCCCCATGTCTAGCTATTCTAAAGCCACCAGGCTAAAAAACATGTCAGTAATACAAATGTTTTGTCCTCCCCATGTTCAGAGCTTGCGAGAAGAGCTTGAACATGAGAAACAAGTAGAGCTGGAGACATTACAGTCAGAGTTTAGAATCCAACTGGAGATAGAGCTGAAACGCCAGGCAGCTCTGATCAGGCAGGAGGGGGAGGTGAAAGGTGTGAGAGCCTCACCATCATCCAACAGCACGCTGGAGTACACAGACAGCAACAGTGATTCTCACAGTGAGCTCTTGGCCACAAAAAGCTTTGATGTGGAGGAGCTCAAGGATGAGTTGTCAGGTCATCCAGAGCCAGTCACTGAGACCCTTGTGATGACCAGTGGTCAAGCTGGGTATACAGACCCAAGTCAAGAAGTGGCTGAGTTAAATCAGCTGAGGCTACATTTAGAGATGGCAGAACAAGAGAAGGCAACTCTAGTGTTGAATCATGAACAAGAGTTGGAAGTACTGACCAACAAGTTGAATGAGGCGGAGGACAGATATGATAGATTGATGGCAGGTAGGGAGAGGAACTGTTTGACTTTATATTGGTCTGTTTTATTGACATTAGAACTATAGAAATATCGTAAATAGCTAATAGAAGAAATTGCATTAAGATTTATAATAATGAATAAAGTAAATGAGAATAATGGACTTAATTAGTTATTTCATCAAGTAGTAACTACAGTATATGATTCCTTGTTGTACCAGGTGTAGAGAGGGGAGACTATCCAGAGCTGAATGAAATTATCAAAGATAAATACGACACCCAGTTGGAACTGACAAAATCTCTGCTACAGAAAGATTATGATGAAACTCTCAAGGAAGAAAAGGTTTGGCTTAACATTTATTTCTAGTGCTACTTGGGTCATGGTTGAAGTTTTGCTATTGCCTTTATTAATCATGTGATACATATGCCTTTATTAATTGTGTGATACATATAAGTAAAATTGTAAAACTTCCTTAGAAAAAGTTAATGGAGAAACATCGCACATTGATGGCCAGCTTGATGGGCGACCGAGGGGAGGAAGAGGATAAACACAAGGTAGAGATGGAGGCTTTGAGGGAGGAGTTAACACAGACATTTGAGGAGAAGTTGCTGATGGAGAGGGAGACATTGAAGCAAGAATTAACACTGGCATTTGAGGAGACTTTGTTGGAGTCTCAGGTGAGTTAGAATAGTTGTAGGCATTGTTAGGTGTTGAGAATATAACATATAATTTTAGCAAAGTTGAGAATATAATGTCAATTTTTGCTAATTTAGAAAATGTAAGTGTTTAAGGAAGAAAATTGGATTGTGAAAAAAATATGTATGAATGTATTTAACCAAATTAAATATGCACTAAAAATGGTTGTAAAAATTACAAGTTACATTATGTTAACTCATGAGAAATTGTATTGTTTGTATTTATGTTGGATGCAGCAAGAAATTGAAAGACTCAACAGTTTACTTCAAGAAACCTCTCGTCACAACATAGACAAATCTCTGGCTCAAGTGGAAGAAATCACACTCAATTTTGAGGTCAGATATTGCTCGAAGAAGCTGAAAAGATAAATTAATTAGCATTATATCTTGTTGAATACAACTTATTCCAAAATTTGTCGTGTACACAAGTTATTCCTAACTGTATTGTAGACAACTTATCTCAAACCTATTACCAAATGTATCGTGTCGACAACCTATCCCATAGCTATGACTAAATGTATTGTGTAGACAACTTATCCCATAGCTATGACCAAATGTATCGTGTCGACAACTTATCCCTAACCTATGACCAAATGTATAATGTAGACAACTTATCCCAAACCTATGACCAAATGTATTGTGTAGACAACTTATCCCTAACTGTTGCATACAACTTATCCCTAACCTATGACCAAATGTGTCAAACAGGAGGCTGAGAGTGGGGGCTCATCAACTCCTCTGTCCAGTCCAACATTTGCTGAGGTTGTCAAAAGCCACATCCCCTTGTCTAAAAGTGAAAGAAAAGAACTGCAGGAGAGGATAAAGCAGGTATAAATCAACCTGAGTTAATGCCCTTGGCTTATATTTATCACCAAACTCAGATAGTAGGCAGTGAGAAATGTTTGATTTGTTTTCAGCTTGAACACCAGATCCAAGTTTTACACCAGCCAGATCAGGCTAAGGACTTTTCCCAGGATACACTTAGTGTGTCGCAGGACACATTGAGAGTGGAGGACAGTTCTCTGATTGCTATGCTACAGTCTGACCTTGATAGAATCAGTGCTGAAAGGTAAGCCTAAGGCTGGTTTTTTGTCATGTCCCAACATCACACACAGCAAATACCTCTCTTATTACATTCAACAAACATGAACATCCCTCTACCAGCAAACAGCTCTCTTATTACATTCAACAAACATGAACATCCCTCTACCAGCAAACAGCTTATTAAACATCTGATGTCTGTCCCCAGGGAGAACATCCAACAGACCAACGAGCGCCTGCTGAGCCTCCTGTCAGACTCTGTGAAGACCTACATGGGTGTGGAGGACACAATCAACAGACGCCTGTCCCAGGTGGTGGCTGGAGCTGAGGCAGGGGCCAGACCTGATGCTTCATCCAACAAGAGCTCACCTGCAAGAAAACCTCGAGGTAGTTCTTCAACTCATTCATAATGAAATTTTTTTTACAGAAATATGTTGTATCCAACCTTCATGTTTTATATAGTGTATTTAAAGCTAACTGGAACAAATCTATTTATAGATGTGAACACAAGCATAGACAGCCTGACATCAGAGGAAACAAGTTTACTTTCTAATGGCATTGATGAGGGCCTGGAGATCTCCCAGAGACTTGCAGAGAGCATCTTTGCTGGGCCTGACCTGGATCCTGAAGGGGAAGAAATTCTCTTAGGTATTATTTATACCACTGTGGTTGGGAGGCTGCTGTATAAAAATGATAAAATATTTACAGACATTCACATTGTTGATTGGTTTACTTAAGTCATTAGGTTTTGCTTTAAAGGATTTATTTCATCCCTGCAAAGTGAAATTTAAAAAAAAAACAAGCTTGGCAACATTGTAAGAATGTGTCAAAAACTCTGACTTCCCAAATATTTAGACAATTTACCCTTTTGTCATAGTAAAAAATGTTTGGGCAGAATGACACGTATACAAACATTTTAAGATTTTACTCCACATTGAACTTACAGTTGCCAATCTTTATGCGTAAACTTAAGAGCCCTTTCTGGAACATGAATGTACGTTTCTTTCTTAACTTAGATGCCAGAAGTCGTTTAGAGACTGCAGTTGATCAGCTGTTGGAGCTAATGGAACAGTCCAATGCCCAGCTGGTAGAGGCCAAGGCCACACAACAGCAGCTGCTGGAGTCACTAGCGGCCAGGGCCAATGAATATGAGAGCATCAATGCCAAATGTACAGAGCTACGTAACCAACTCTCCAGTGAGATTGAGGCTAAAGAATTTCTGGGACTTGAACTACACAAGGCTGAAGGTAAGCAGCATGGAATTCTTTTTTTTTTGAGGGGGAGGAGGGTCTCATTAAGGCCTCTTTCTGGGGCAAGTAATTAGATTAAAAGAGTTACTACATAAAACAGGTTCCTACTCATGTAGAGGGTAGGTCACTTAGCTCATTTGGAGGCCAGGTCATTTGGTTATTTACTACAATCTAACAAAAGTCATTGAGTCCTAATACCTATCTCAGTATGAGACCCTACATGCAACATAGCAACATGAACAAACATTCAGTAGCAGACTTCCAATTTTAGAGCTATAGTAGCAGTTGGTAAATGTGTTGCAGCACTAATGACCTTACTTTTCAATAACAAACACAATAAGACTTCTTTATTTATCAAAATACAATTAAGGTACTAATAGACCACCTATTTAACAACTAGTCTACAGTCAAGCATCCATAGACCTTTCTTAAGTTTACTTTGTAGCATCAATAGACCCCCCCTCACACACACACACACACAAAACATGCAGTTTAGCATTAATAGACACCAGTATACCCATAACCCACCATTAGATGACGATATGACACACAACTACAGCCTGTATAGATGATCTCTGTGACATATCACTATATCACCACCAGACCCCCCACCCCCCCATGTCATACCATTACATCAGCACCAGCCTCCCCCCTCTCCCCCCCCCCCCAACGTACAATCCTAACCAAACCCATCCCATCAGGTCTGCTAGGTGGATACAGCTCTGAGCGTGAGTCACTAGAGCAGAGACTGCAGGCTCTAGAGGAACAGAGGGAGTCTCTGATTGTCCAGCTGGATACGACACGCTCTCAGCTAGAGAGCTACCAGCAGTCTGACACCCAGGGGGAGGACCACCCACAGCAGAGCCCGGCACCTAGCCAGGAGATCCAAGGTTCATATTTTGGTTCATCTTATCGTTTGATTATCATACCACTAAGTGTTCTCGTAGGGGCCTACCTGTATCACAGGTGGCTGTCACCTTCACAGTAACTTTTGCAGGTGGCTGTAACAATTGCAGGTCTCTGTCCCCCCATAAGGCAGTCACCTTCATGTTTAACTATCACATTAATCAGCCACAGGTTGTTTAAGTACCTGATTGTGGTAACGATTATCACACAGTTTAATGTAAATAATTGTAATTTATTAAAACTGGGGATTCAAGAATGGGTAGAGCTTTAACGAGTTCAATATTTTATTTATTTTCCCCTTTATTAAAGCACATCAGGGTTGATCACTTTATTGATGTAGTTGATTGTTCTTAGCATGATGTTTACATCATCTATTGATCTCAGCATGTTGTTTGATGTTGTCTCAGTTACTTTAGCATCTTGATTGTTTTTCAATGTTGTCGATTGTTTCTAGCATTGGATTTGATGTTGTCACTTGGTTTTCAGCATGTTATTTGATATTGTCTATTAATATCAGAATGATTGCTGAATGTTGTACATAGTGTATAGCATGTTTTCATGTAAAACAATTGTTTTTTGTTTTGTTTCAAATGAACTGATAAACAATGTATAGCAAACTTTTGTGAAAACACTGTTATAAAGCACTTTATATGTATTAGCGAGATCAAAAAGTAAAAAAAAATTTTTGTTTTAAATCAAGTTAATGTTACAAATATGGAATCAAATATATTAGATTTAAAAAACAACAGTGTTATCACTGATAATATATATTCTTAAATGTCATTTTTATTTATGGCGTTTTTTTGTTTTGTAGATAACATTTTTCTTGTGAAGGGTCGTCTCTAAATGATGTCACACAATTTGAGCTTTTTTCCCCCCATTCTCCATCCTCACATGGTTTAAGTCAACTCCCTCAGAATGACCACAATGCTCCAACACTCTACCTAAAAGAAATTATTCTGATGAAAATTTACACGAAATTTATTACAGTACAATAATTTTGTTTCCCTATTTCACATTTCTTTACACCTGACCCCCACTCCCCATAATAACGAATGATCACTACAATCTGAACCCCTCCTCCTAGGTGTATGACATCAATTATGGATGAACCCTATATGGCCTTGACATTTGCTAATGAGTCGCTCTAATAATAATGTTAGCAAAACCTCCACAATTATGTCATCATGTGATTTAATTTCACAAGGGCAAATAAATGGCCTTGAAAACTTTGAATAGTTTTGTTTTCTCATCCATGTGTCAAATGCATCGTGCACTAACATACATATTACATGTGTGAGCTGTGCATACATACACATTACATGTGAAAACTGTGCATACATACACATTACATATGAGAACTGCACATTCAACTACACCTCACACATCAAATCATGTATTCTTAGGAATCATGTTATTCTGTACCTTATAAGAGTTTATTGGAGAGTTTTCAGGGACTTAATAGATGAGGGGTTGGGTCGCGTGAAGATGGTCAGTATATTGGCAATGAATTTTTATGATCAAGTTTTCGTTTGATACAGTTGAATCAGTTTGATGATAACGTGGTGTAATGAAAGGCTACAGTTTATGTTCATTTTGTGAGTCGGCTGACAACTTAATTATTCAATCAGCTGATGTTTAATGAATGGCTAAAGTCAGCTGTTTAATAAATGGCTACAGTCAGGTGATGTTTAATGAGTGGCTACAACTAACTGATGATTAATGAATGGCTACAATCAGCTAATGTTTAATGAGTGGCTTAAGTCAGTGGATTGTTATTTAATGCCTAGCATCATTAGTGGATTGTAATAAAATACATGACTGCCGTCAGTTGGTAAGATGTTTGTACTGTCAGTAATAGCTGAGGTAAGGACATTTTTTCTTCACCTTATTTTATTTAATCCAACGAGGGATTATTTGTATCTGGTGCATCCTAATGCTTTTATGATTTGAGACAAACTATTCAGTTGACTGTGTTGTGTGAAAAAAGTGCCATTTTTGTTTACAGTGTGATGTGTAGTACACAAATGTAACAATTTCATGTAGCTTTATATGCATCCTTATATCAACAATCATCCAGTAATATATTTAAACAGTTGATGTATTTCTCACACATTCATTAAGCGAACACTATTCTATATACTGTGTAGCCGGGTAAACAAAGCTACTGTACCTATACAAAACCCTAATGATTTTCTGGTAGTTGACACACCAACACAAATTGTGACACACCTGTAGAAATTTAATGATTTGATGTGTGTATATAGAAACATTGGTGGAGGTTTTGCATGACATACTATGTGATTTTTAAAACAAAATTGTTTTGTGTGATTTTTGTTTTATAGTGTTAGTTTTAACTATAATGCTAACATGAATTTACAAAACAGTTTTCAAATCAGCACTAAAAAATTTAATTGTTTAAAAGATTTTTCTAAAAATTAACCAAATTAATTTTATTTAATTTGCTTGAAGATTTTTGATTATGTATATTAAATTTGTTTGAAGTAAATTTTGTTAACGAAGTAAAAAACAAACTAACATGTTAACTTTGAAAACTGACTAGGTCTGTGCTAGATGTTTAGTTGCTTGTTTGCATGTTGATTGTTGTTGCCTTTTTTGTGCACAGTGGATGACCCTCCGAGCTTGCCACCACATCCACCAGGTTTGTTCTCAGCTTACTTTGTTACCCCACACCTCTCACACCCCTCTCAACTTTGTTACTCTACACCCCTCTCAACTTTGTTACCCCACACCTCTCACACCTCTCTCAACTTTGTTACCCCACACCTCTCACACCCCTCTCAACTTTGTTACCCCACACCTCTCACACCTCTGAACTTTGTTACCCCACACCTCTCACACCTCTGAACTTTGTTACCCCACACCTCTCTCAACTTTGTTACCCCACACCTCTCTCTTCTCTCATCTGCCCCATCCTCATCACTCACACACCAACCAGCAGACTAATCTACAGAACACTCACCTCAATCTCTTACACCAGCAGTCAGTAGTTTTTTTCTCTACCAAATAAATTAGGAAAAGAGAACTTTGAAAATTAACTATTAAAATTTCTCTTTCTTTTTACAAAGCCATTAGGTTAATTTAAAATGCTAAAATTTAAATTTTCTTCTAATATTTGAAAAGATTTTGTCTGTTTTATTTTTCCAAAGTAATTTTTAATGCTATTTATGTTTGCTACATAACAACAACTATAACATAATTTCTAGTCTGCCATAACAGTTTGCTTAGTATAAACTTAATAAGCCATCTGTAGTAGAAGCTTATGCATCTTTTTCTTTGTGACAACCATGTAAGCCTGCTTTTTGACAACCATATTGTTCTACTCACTATGACTTTGTATATGACAACCATATATAGTTAGTAGTAGGTGTATATTCTGTGACAACCCCATATATAACTTCCACTGTGACAACCATTTTTAGGTCTACATTCTGTATCACAACCCCATATATAACTTCCACTATTAAAAGCATGTACCATACTTAAATTCTATATGACAACCCCATATATAACTCACTATTAAAAGCAAATACTATGCTTAAATTCTATATGACAACCCAATATATAACTCACTATTAAAAGCATGTACTATGCTTAAATTCTATATGACAACCCCATATATAACTCACTATTAAAAGCATATACTATGCCTGAATTCTATATGACAACCCCAAGTATAACTCTGTATGACAACAATATTCAGCATGTTTTCTTTAAAAGGGGTCAGCAATCTTGTAAGATAAAAGAGCCATGGATTAATATCTTTAGTCAACTGGGCTAAAAATTAATTTTATTTTTCATATTGTAAATCTGTAGAAGTTACATGGAAACCTCTGATGTTCTTTTTGTATTTCAACTCTATTTTGATAAGTTCTTATACTGGTAAAAACAAATCTGAAAAAAAAACGTATTTGTCTAAGTTGCTGACCACTGGGCCATGACCATTACATCTGACTACCTCAATGGTTAGCCATGTTGTATTATTTGTCCTCTCACCCCTCTGTTACCTGTGTACCATAATATAATTAAGCTTTTACTTCTGTAATTTGTATCAATATTTTCCCTGATTGTTCTAAAATTTACAAGATAAACATAAGGTAAAATGTGTGTGTGACTTGTCCCTACCAGCCCTGTTGGTGGAGGTGAAGAGTCTGAATGAAGAGAAGAAAGAGTTGAGTGAGCAGTTGCAGCAACAGCTGGACCACTCCACACAGCGCATCAGTCTGCTGGAGGGTTTGCTGGAGGAATCTGAGCGCCAGCATGAGATCCTCGTGGAAGAAAAGTGCAGGGAGACTGAAGACTTGAGGCTACAGCTGGAGAATTGTGAGAGGCAGCTGAAGGTCAATAAGGCGTTTGTGGAGGTAGGTCTTTGAGGTGGGGGTTAGGTCATTTGTAGAGGTAGGTCTTAGTGGTGTGGTTTAGGGCATTTGTGGAGGTAGATCTTGCAGGGGGGGGGGGGTTAGGGCATTTGTGGAGGTAGGTCTTAGAGGTAGTTGTTATATCTTAGAAGTGGCGGTTAGGGCATTATTGGAGGTAGGTCTTTGAGGTGGGGGTGAAGTCTTAGAGGTGGGGGTTGGGTCTTAGAGTTGGTGGTTAAGTCATTTGTGGAGGTAGGTCTTACAGGTGGGGGTTAGGTCATTTGTGGATCTATTTTGGTTAGTGTCAAGAGCTTGAACTTTGGGAGGAGGAAAGGTTAGTAAGCTGCAACTATTGTAACAAAATGTGTTTAAACCATGGCACTGTCGTACAGGATCAGATACTGGAGCGTGAACAAGAGAGGGAAGATCATCAGAGGGAGATCAGGAGGCTGGAGCAGCTCCTGGAGGGCAGAGACAAGCAGGTGGAGGCACATCATAGGCTTCAGAGTGAGGTAGGTCAAGGTCAGGCCATAAGCTTCAGAGGGAGGGAGGTCAAGGTCACATGACCAACTAGGTAAAAATCACAGGCTTTAGAGTGAGGTAGGTCAAGGTCACATGACAAACTAGGTAAAAATCACAGGCTTTAGAGTGAGGTAGGTCAAGGTCAGGCCATAAGCTTTAGAGTGAGGTAGGTCAAGGTCACATGACAAACTAGGTAAAAATCACAGGCTTTAGAGTGAGGTAGGTCAAGGTCAGGCCATAAGCTTTAGAGTGAGGTAGGTCAAGGTCACATGACAAACTAGGTAAAAATCACAGGCTTTAGAGTGAGGTAGGTTAAGGTCAGGTCACAGGCTTCAGAAAGTGGTCAATGTCAGATTACATGCTTTAGAGAGAGGTCGGTCAAGGTCACATGATAAACTAGGTTAAATTTTAGGCTTTAGTGTGAGTTAGGTCAAGGTCAGGTCACATTATGCCAAAGACTTCAATAATTAGTAGATCAAGGCATCTCACATCACAAATTAAGTTAATTCACAGGTTTAAAGATGAAGTAGGTCAAGGTCACATCATTGACTTTGAACCACAGGCTAGGGGCAGGCCCACTATCTGAACCTGTGTATTTTGTGTTGCAGATCTCGGACCTCACAGAGCAGCTCCAGTCGCACGTAACCAATCAAGCTGCCATGCACCAGAGAATCTTAGAACTTCAAACAGCTCTACAGGACAAGGAACTCAGTGCTCATGACTTGAAGGTAAGATGTCACAGTTGTAAGTTGCAAAGGTCAGAGTTCAGATTAAAGTTAAAGGTTAGATTCAGTAATGTAAACTTTAGGTAGTCAAAAGTTTGTAGTCTGATTACTCCAGAGGCGTAGCGATGGGGGGGCAGGGGGGGGGGGGGGGGACATATGTCCTTAGGGGGCTCCAAAATGGGTTGTAAAAACAAATTAAAATGTCATTTTTGCAGTTAGAGGGGTGTAAATCGAAAGTTTGAGGGGGGTGCAAATCAAAAAGTTGAGAGGGGAGGTGCAAATTGAAAATTTGCTTCCGAGGGTGGGGGGGGGGGGGGGCGCCAAATTGAAAGTTTGTCTCCGGGCGCCGGGAAGGGTCGCTACGCCTCTGGATTACTCTCTTTTGTTATGGGGACATATCAAACAAAAAAGTTAAAACAAGCTCTAGAGTTTAAAAAAAGTTCCAGACTTTAGACCCGGAAGATTTGAAAGGTTAACTTCTGTCAGACACAAATATGTTTGCCAACACCTGAATAAAATGTTGTTTGCCCAGAAATGGGTGTCTGAGCTGGAGAGAGAGCTGGACCAGAAGGGCAGCCTGGAGGAGCAGCTGAAGACCAAGATCCTGAGACTGGAGAGGCAGCTGACCAGCCAGACACAGGAGGACCCTGAGAGCAGCGGAGAGATCTCACTGGACTCTGAGAAAAGATCTGTCCCAGAGCTTCTGTCTCCCGTCCACACCCTGAGGGTCAGCTCGGTCCCCCTACAGGAGGAGCTGCGCAGGTGTCAGCTGTTGGACCAGGTACACACGTGGTCTGGTCACATGACCACAACTCTGTAGTTTGTAGCAGATTTTTTTTTGTGGAACAGTAGTTTTCAAATTAATGAGTTAATTTTAGTGGACATAGGCATTCATAGTATTGACAATTATTTAGAGGAACAAGCTTTGCTATTGCTACATCATTTCATGAGAATTCAAGTTAACATCTGCATTATTATTGAAATATTACCTTTGACTTTATTTACTAATTGGGAGATGTATAAAATTCAGGAAGTGCAGCATGAAAATGCTGCACTGAAGGAACAAGTCCAGCAACAGATGGTTCAAATCTCTGGACTCAGGAACCAGCTGGACCAGTTCAGGCACTACAGTGGCATGGAGGATGACAGCACCCATCTGAGGGTCAAGCTACAGGCATCCAGAGACATGGTGGAGAAGTTAGAAGATAAGGTAAACTCCTGGTATCCATTAGTGGATAAGGTAAACATATGGTATCTAGTAGTGGATTAGGTAAACATATGGTATCTAGTAGTGGATTAGGTAAACATCTGCTATCTAGTAGTGGATTAGGTAAACATCTGGTATCTAGATCTAGTAGTTAGTGGATAATGTAAACATCTTGTATCCAGTAGTGGATTAGGTAAACATATGGTATCTAGTAGTGGATTAGGTAAACATATGGTATCTAGTAGTGGATTAGGTAAACATATGGTATCTAGTAGTGGATTAGGTAAACATATGGTATCTAGTAGTGGATTAGGTAAACATCTGGTATCCAGTGGTGGATTAAGTAAACATGGTATCCAGTAGTGGATTAGGTAAACATCTGGTATCCAGTGGTGGATTAAGTAAACATGGTATCCAGTAGTGGATTAGGTAAACATATGGTATCCAGTAGTGGATTAGGTAAACATATGGTATCTAGATCTAGTAGTTAGTGGATAATGTAAACATCTTGTATCCAGTAGTGGATAAGGTAAACATCTGGTATCGAGTAGTGGATAAGGTAAGCATCTGTTAGTATACAGTAAAGTTGTTGTATGCGTATCCAGTAGTTTAATTCTAGTTGGTAAACATTTTGTATCCAGCAGTTTACTGAATAAGGTAAACGTATATCCTGTAGTTTTCCCCTACCATATTTGTGCCCTACCAGTTGTGAGATGTAGATATGTTGTATGCAGGTGAGTGAAGCAGAAAGAACAATTGAAGCCTTAGAACAAGAGTTGAAAGAGAAGACTGAGGAGGTGGATCTGATTAGAACTCAGGCTACAAGAATACTCAACATTGGGGACTCACAACTTGAAAATGAAAGCCTAAAGGTTAGTAGGCCACCGTTGTTTATCTTTACAAGATTTTACAGTAGTTTACAGTCCACTAGCTAAGACAACAGCTGACAGTTGACCCAAATGACCACTAACACAACCTGATTTTTCCAGAAACAGCTGGAGGAACTAAGAAAGGAGCAGTCCCAGGTTGATGTGACTCCAAGTTTCCCACCTGCTTTGTTAGAGGAGAAGAACCTGGAGATAGAGGAGCTGAACAAAAAACTCAAGTCTTTGGAAGATGAACTGGATCAAATGCAGGAGAAAAACACTGCAGATAAGGTAGGCTTTAGTTCATTAGAACACAATTCAATAGTTTAGTGGAACCCTATCTTTTGTTAAGTTTGAGAAATAATTTTATTTCTCATTGATGGTGATTGCTTGATTAAATCAGGTAATATATATTTATATCTCTTTAATGACAATCATACACTGTTAGCTTGTATATGTTATCCATTCTTAAAATAAAACATTGCTCTACCCTCTGCTTAATGTTTAACAACATAGTCTAGTTTGGCAAAGCTATTCAGGTGATAATTTATAGTTTTATCATGTTGTACAAGGCAGAAATAATAGTCAGTTCATGTTGCTTTTGTACAGTTAATGTCTTACTAAAACGGTATTCAAGATTACACATATTAGAGATTATAAAGATTTATGCGAGTAATTAAAGTTTTTATTTCACTTTCAGAGAAAAATGGCCGAGCTTGAAACCCGCTTGAAGGAAAAAGATGAAGAGATCAGTGACCTCCATGACAGCATCATAAGCTTGCGTCGTGGGGAAATGTGTCTGGATGTTTCTCTGCCTATCAATGAGGATGCCAATCATTTACTTAACATCTCCATGACTGGACAGGTCAGTCTTTATACAATTACCCAGAGTTGCCAGGCTGTCAGATTAATTTATCACTGTGTTATATTTTGGTTTGTCTTGTCTTAGTTTTATAGTGTCTGATTAAGGGGGGAGGCTGAAAGGGCTGCAGCCGGGGCCCTCGATGTTTAGGGGCCCCCAAATTTCCTCTTACAAATCATAGTATATTTCACTTTATAGCATAATTGTTTGTTTTTCTTTACTATAAAAACAATGCTTTAATGTTTGCATCATCAGCTATTACCTTCATTTTCAAAATATCAAACAGGGACACACACTTAAGTATAAATACCAGCTATCATCTCCTCCTACCCAGATATTGTATAAATAAAGCCGACACTTCCTAAAATAACAGCCCGGACCTTCGTTTGTTTATGACAATAAAATTTGTTGATTTTAGAGTTTAAAATACACAATCAGCCACCGGATTTTCTAAAAATGAGTTTAGGCATACTATTGACCCCCCTCCCCATCCTTTAAAAAAAAACCTACTAATTGAAATATATTTCATCAGATCACATAGGGCAATAGTAAAAAAAAAAATTTTAAATAACGCAATTGTTTGACATAGGGTGGTCTGCATTCTGAATTATCTCTCACTCGCAAGCTATCCCTGGAAATGAATGGAAAAATGCCTAATCTTCTTTGCTCACCAGCCACATTACTAGTAAAAGTATGGCAATATTCTTAATATATTTGTTATTAGAACAAATTTGTTACTTTTTTAGGTGTAGGGTAGATCTAGTTATTTTGGATTAAAACTCCCTACATGCATTATTTGAGATATTAGTGTTTGGTAATTGCATCTTCCAGCCTGATGATCATAGGGCAGAAAGTGGTAGATTAAGGGGAGGGGGAGAGAGCCCCTGATTTTTAGAGGTCTTCAAATTTGCTCTTACATAATAAATTTAATTTTCCATCAGAGTTCTGTTTCTATATATGTAAATTAAGTGACCGTTTGAATGTTTAAACGACAAGCTATTTTATTTACCAAATAAAAACTACACAAACATGAGTTTTTCCCCATGAAAAACTTCAAAACGCCCCTTCCTCATGTTAACTTTGGCTGTCGTCGCTTTCTGCTAAAAAAATGTTTATGTAAGCCACACACCCTAAATATTATAAATTTTTATATCAGTTAATCAACCAGTTCAGAAAAAAAAAACACTGACTCTTAACAAAACAGGCTAGAAAAACATGATCCAAGCATTTATGAAAAATCTGTCTAATAGCTAACAACGAAGCCTACAATGCTTTAAACCAAACATAATAAAACAAATTATAGACCTACTGGTTCAGCTAATTGCATTGTTCAAAATCACTACACTAGGTAGGGATTAATGTGTTTTGAATGTTAGGCCTAGTTATTTGAAGTGACAGGTTGGTTAGTGATGTTGTTATGCATTGAATTAATAAGAATTAAAACCTAAGCTGGACACCAGGTGGGACCTTCAAGGATACGACTAGGCTTATCTCAAAAGTATAGAAAGAAAAGTGATAAAGCTATAACTCAGTGACATTGGCAGTGACATTGCCAGTGACAGTGACATTGGCAGTGACAGTGACATTGGCAGTGACAGTGACATTGCCAGTGATAGTGACATTGGCAGTGACATTGGCAGTGACATTGGCAGTGACAGATTCAGGAGCTGAACAGGTGGCCACCAATTATCTGTTATCAACGATAGTAAAAAATCTCCTATCAATATTTTGCTTGTTGCTAGCAAGTGAGTGAATTACATCAGGCTAGCGTTCTTTGTCAGACCTGCAGGTGTTAAGTGGACTAATCACACATACAAAGGGACATAACTATTATATCCCTGTGCCTTCCATTGGATCCAGATGTGCAGTCCTATAATCCTAACACATTTACAACAGTAGGTTTATTTACAATGGTATGGCGAGATGTTTTCAAATTTTGTTATCTAAATCAAATTTTTTTTATAGTTATGCTTTTTTAAAGATAAATTACAACAAAATCAAGCACGATTTTAAAGGCACTATAGTTGCAATATCAGGGGCGTAACTAGCTTATCCTGCACTTGTATGTGTATAATTGTACTAAATAAATGATTTGTCAGTCAATGTGATCTATTAGTAGTGCTTAAATACTGTGTGAATCTTTGTAATTATTCCAAGTAGGGCGGTTTGAGATATTCTTTGATTTCTTTTATCTTCTGACGACTGCACATGGGCTTTTCAAAAAGTCATTTTACGTCTGTTCTGAAGGCATGTGTTATATAGATCTATTCCTTTCTTCATTCCCTGATGTGTAGAATATAATGAGAGCCACATGACACAAGGCGTTTGTTAACTTATTGTTAAACTGTTTTTGATTTAACTCACACACACACACACCCACACACACACACATATATATATATATATATATATATATATATATATATATATATATATATATATATATATATCAGCTGGGGGCCCGTTAAAACTAAATCCCTGGTTTTATGTATGTAAAGCTGCTATGTTTGGCATTTGCCATTCAAAGTGTAATACACTAATTAGGTCTTTGTGTGTCTTGATTGTATGGTAATAATGTTTGCCATAACTGTGTACAGTCAAGACTTGATCTTTAAATCTTTTAGAGACCTTGTCTGTCTTGTTGTCATGCTGTCTTGGTGTCATGCTGTCTGGTGTCATGCTGTCTTGGTGTCATGCTGTCTTAGTGTCATGCTGCCTTGGTGTCATGCTGTCTTGGTGTCATGCTGCCTTGGTGTCTTGCTGCCTTGGTGTCATGCTGCCTTGGTGTCTTGCTGCCTTGGTGTCATGCTGTCTTGGTGTCGTGCTGCCTTGGTGTCATGCTGTCTTGGTGTCATGCTGTCTTGATGTCATGCTGTCTTGATGTCATGCTGTCTTGGTGTCATGCTGTCTTGGTGTCATGCTGTCTTGGTGTCATGCTGTCTTAGTGTCATGTAGTCCAGTCTTAACATGCCAGACTAAGTCAGTAAAATGCATGTACTTGTTGTCTATTGATCTAACTGGGGTTTGAAGGGGCGAGAGAGTCTTGTTATTACACTGGTTTTAACATGGCCTTGAAGTGAAGGAGCGAGGAAACACATAAAGGAATCAGATGGTTGTGTCTGAAGCTTCTGGTTACATTCTCTGCATGGCCAAATGTTTGTTCTTATCTACAACACTTACTGCTCCAAATCTTGACACCTTTCAACACTGTAGTAAACAAATGAAACTAAACGCAGTCTACACTGGAAAATAGAACATATTGCTGAAGTAGCTTGCCACATGAGACAGTGTCACATATCTAAACTATGAGATGGTCACACAGCTATACTGTGGGACTGTGTCACACAGCTATACTGTGGGACTGTGTCACACAGCTATACTGTGGGACTGTGTCACACAGCTATACTGTGGGACTGTGTCACACAGCTATAATGTGACACACAGCTTAACTGTGTAACACAGCTAAACTGTGTCACACAGCTAAACTGTGTCACACAGCTAAACTGTGTCACACAGCTAAACTGTGTCACACAGCTAAACTGTGTCACACAGCTAAACTGTGTCACACAGCTAAACTGTGTCACACAGCTAAACTGTGTCACACAGCTAAACTGTGTCACACAGCTAAACTGTGTCACACAGCTAAACTGTGTCACACAGCTAAACTATGTCACACAGCTAAACTGTGTCACACAGCTAAACTGTGTCACACAGCTAAACTATGTCACACAGCTAAACTGTGTCACACAGCTAAACTGTGTCACAAAGCTAGACTATGTCACACAGCTAAACTGTGTCACACAGCTAAACTGTGTCACAAAGCTAGACTATGTCACACAGCTAAACTATGTCACACAGCTAAACTATGTCACACAGCTAAACTGTGTCACACAGCTAAACTGTGTCACAAAGCTAGACTATGTCACACAGCTAAACTATGTCACACAGCTAAACTGTGTCACACAGCTAAACTGTGTCACAAAGCTAGACTATGTCACACAGCTAAACTATGTCACACAGCTAAACTGTGTCACACAGCTAAACTGTGTCACAAAGCTAGACTATGTCACACAGCTAAACTGTGTCACACAGCTAAACTATGTCACACAGCTAAACTGTGTCACACAGCTAAACTGTGTCACAAAGCTAGACTATGTCACACAGCTAAACTATGTCACACAGCTAAACTGTGTCACACAGCTAAACTGTGTCACAAAGCTAGACTATGTCACACAGCTAAACTATGTCACACAGCTAAACTGTGTCACACAGCTAAACTGTGTCACAAAGCTAGACTATGAAACTATCTCATATCTTACCTGTGAGACTGTGTGACATGAACTAGCCCCATTGTTTGAAATAATTTTTTTGTTATCCAGGTGTCTAGGCCAGACACAGAGCGGGTTAGTATACCACCTTGTGTGCTCTCTCTCTCTCTCTCTCTCTCACATAGACAACTATTTATAGCCAATAACCAAATAGTTAATCTCATAACCACTTAGTTCACCTAATTAACCTTGTAACCATATAGCTTACCTAATTAGCCGCAAACTTAATTGAATGATTACATAACCAATTTAATCTTTGTGTAGTTAATCTAATAACCATGTAGTTAACCAGAAACCTTATCAACACTGTTGATTTACTAGTTCTTGTATAACACTAATTTTGCCACATATTATCAAGCTGAATTATAGCAAAGGATGTATAAAGCTAATCATTTATTGCTATTGTATCATTTATACAGAGCACTATAATTTATTTAATTTCATAATTAAATAACCTGTCATAAAAAATATTTAATGCACCACTGCAAATTTGGACATTATATTTTCAAACACTATAATGACTTGCTTTTATTGCTCTCACTAAAGCCTTGGGTTGATACATATAAAAAGACAAAATACTGATGGCTTTTTTCTATACTGCAGTTTTATTATTGACCTGAAATTGTGTATGGTTTTTTATTTTCATTTATTCCAAAATTTTTATCTGATGAAAATCATTTGTTGAAACAGATTTTTATTGTATTTACAAATAGCACAATAAAATTAGTGGAAAATATGTGTTAAATTGAACAGTGTGTCAGCGCATGTAAAAATAATCTAATTAATACATGAGTAGTAATTTTATCTTTGTGGTAAACTCCAATTTTGTTTAGTTTATTGAATACACACAGCTGTTAGTTATTATTTGATGTAGGTCTATAATAATATAAATTATGTTAGTTATTATTTGATGTAGGTCTATAATAATAATATAAATTATGTTTTTAGATAACGTGACAAAAGGTAGCTAGTTCAGTAGAATTTGTTTATAAATCTATAGGATGAGTGAGTTTTCTCTTTTAATTAATCCCTTGCAGTCTTTTTAACCTACTACAGTTTCTGTGTGAACTTTAACCTTGTATTTTTTGTGTGAACTTTAACCTTGTATTTTTCTGCTTCCTAATGGGGTAATGGCTGCTTGGTGGTGGATTTGTTTTAACTAAACATGTCTATAAACACAATCTATACATGTATAACTGGATCAACGGTTGGTAAACACAATCTATACATGTATAACTGGATCAACTGTTGGTAAACACAATCTATGCATGTATAACTGGATCAACTGTTGGTAAACAAAATCTATACATGTATAACTAGATCAACTGTTGATGAACCCAATCTATACATGTATAACTAGATGAACTTTTAAATCTAAGATGGAGTTTGTATATCAGTAACATCAAGTTATTTTCTTGTCATGAAATGTTGACATTCTAGATACAATTTTATTTCTTTATATAAAGCAGCAAAGCTTTAAAAAACAATTGATTCCCTATAAAGATAGGTTTACTGTATTCAGTGAGAGATGTTGGTTATTGCCTACAGTAGATGAGAGCTGTTGTTATTGCCTAGATCAGAGCCATTGGTTATTGCCTACAGTAGATGAGAGCTGTTGGTTATTGCCTACAGTAGATGAGAGCTGTTGGTTATTGCCTACAGTAGATGAGAGCTGTTGTTATTGCCTAGATCAGAGCTGTTGGTTATTGCCTACAGTAGATGAGAGCTGTTGGTTATTGCCTACAGTAGATGAGAGCTATTGTTTACTTTATTCCCAGACCAGCATACAGCAGGAGCTAGAGGAGACCATGGTAGAAAAGGAGGGAGAACTCTTGTTTCTCAGAGACACAATAACACAGCTGACCAAAGAATTAGAGGGGAAAAGTGAACAAGTCAGACATCTAGAAGTCACAGTGGAATCTTTGAAGCAGTCTCTAAGTGTTCACCAGCATGTACAACCCCATGTAAATACTGACTTGGTCTACTTTTTATATTGGTTTGATCTTTGCCAAGTTATTTTTTATCAACTAATGTATTAACCATTGCTTTTATTTAAGCATTGCTCTTCTTTGTTTACTCCATCATTGCTTGTCTATTTGTTTTTAAATCATTGCTTAAGTTAGCTTTGTAAAATAATCTCAGTGAAATGTTTGTCTTGCCAATGTAGGAGGTGGACAAGGTGAAAGAACAAGAAGATGATCAAGTGGATGGACATGAGCCAGGTGTGGACCATGTTGTACAGGGGACATCAGAAGTTGATGGTCAGGAAATGTGTGTGCAGGATGTGGACAAGATGGAGGTGTGGGCTCAGAGTGATCCTACCGAGTTGGCAACACTGAAAGAACAGCTGGCAGAACAATCTGAAGCAAGAACTGAGCTAGAGAACAGGCTGCAGCAGTTGGAGGAAGAACTTGTCATTGTAAGTCCATGATACATCAGTAGGTTCTCCCATGTTAGGTTGTAAGTAATATTTCAGTTATGAATGTGCTTCAATGCAACACAGCTGTTCTTTTAATAACTAATTAACTAGAAATTAATAATCAATTCCATTTTGCCAAAATTATGTCAAAAATGTTCCTATTCCTTGGATGGGAGAGGGATGCATACAAAAAAGCTAACTCTAAACTAATGTCCAGGACTAATATTATTATAAAATAAGTTTCTAAAAAGAATCTAAGCTAATTATTGCCATATATCTGCATGGCATGCACCTTTTGAGATTTCTTAATATAAATTATTAAAAAATAAACAAACATGGTGAAATGTGTACATTTTGTGTTTTAGTTTAATCTAAATTATCAAAAAGATATGAACATGAACAAGCTGAATTCTGTGTTGTATTTTAAATGATCAAAACATAAGAAATTTGAATTCTGTGTTGCACCTAGGCTGTTGAAGAGAGACATAAATGTCAGCTGGAGATGCATGAACAAGAACACAAACATGAAGAACTAATCATGCAAATAGACAATCTACAACATGAGATCCTGAGTCTTACTAATTTCCAGGTTAGTCTTTCTAGTTTCTAGTCAAGTCTCACAATATACCTGGTCAGTCTAGTTCACAAGTATCTCTTGATATGCACACGTCAATAATGGTGCCATGTTTTCTGTAGCATGAGCTGCAAAAGGACTTTGATACAATACAAACTTTGTTGGATGAGAAGGAGAAAGAGATGGACATGTTGGCCAAGGAGTTGACAGACAGCAAGACACAACAGGAGGCGCTGGATACCTTGGTGAGTACCTGTGTGCGTGTAAACTGACCAGACGGGTGTGAGTACCTGTGTCAACTGACCAGACGAGTTGTTTGAGGTAGTTTGACCTGATGGCCGTCTCTGTCTTAGCTGCAGCTGGAGCAGATTGTAGCCAGCCTGCGCAGGGAGCTCAAGGAAAAACAGAATGTAGTGGACGAGAGGGAGGAGGAGCTGTATGAGCTACAGGACAAGATGGAAGACATGGTACACTTGCCTGTCCTTGATATGCCTGCATGGTGCTCTCAGTTTGCTATTTACACAATTGATTGCAGCTAGCAGGGGATTGACGCTCTGCATATTTGAAGGGGGCTTGCACTGTGTCTTTAAGTAGGACCTATACATTTGAAGGGGGCTTGCACTGTGTCTTTGAGTAGGACCTGTACATTTGAAGGGGGCTTGCACTGTGTCTTTGAGTGGTACCTGCATATTTGAAGGGGGCTTGCACTGTGTCTTTGAGTAGGACCTATACATTTGAAGGGGGCTTGCACTGTGTCTTTGAGTAGGACCTGTACATTTGAAGGGGGCTTGCACTGTGTCTTTGAGTGGTACCTGCATATTTGAAGGGGGCTTGCACTGTGTCTTTGAGTAGGACCTATACATTTGAAGGGGGCTTGCACTGTGTCTTTGAGTAGGACCTGTACATTTGAAGGGGGCTTGCACTGTGTCTTTGAGTGGTACCTGCATATTTGAAGGGGGCTTGCACTGTGTCTTTGAGTAGGACCTGTACATTTGAAGGGGGCTTGCACTGTGTCTTTGAGTAGGACCTGTACATTTGAAGGGGGCTTGCAGTGTCTAGGACCTGTACATTTGAAGGGGGCTTGCACTGTGTCTTTGAGTAGGACCTGTACATTTGAAGGGGGCTTGCAGTGTCTAGGACCTGTACATTTGAAGGGGGCTTGCACTGTGTCTTTGAGTGGTACCTGTACATTTGAAGGGGGCTTGCACTGTGTCTTTGAGTAGGACCTGTACATTTGAAGGGGGCTTGCAGTGTGTCTTTGAGTAGGACCTGTACATTTGAAGGGGGCTTGCACTGTATCTTTGAGTAGGACCTGTACATTTGAAGGGGGCTTGCACTGTATCTTTGAGTAGGACCTGTACATTTGAAGGGGGCTTGCACTGTGTCTTTGAGTAGGACCTGTACATTTGAAGGGGGCTTGCAGTGTCTAGGACCTGTACATTTGAAGGGGGCTTGCACTGTGTCTTTGAGTAGGACCTGCATATTTGAAGGGGGCTTGCACTGTGTCTTTGAGTGGTACCTGTACATTTGAAGGGGGCTTGCACTGTGTCTTTGAGTAGGACCTGCATATTTGAAGGGGGCTTGCACTGTGTCTTTGAGTGGTCTTGCAGTGTGTGCATGTACAAAAAATCTTACACACTTTTCAGGCTTGGTACCCATGCTGGCTGGAGTATCAAGTTGTGAAAATATTTGTGTCACATGACATAACTTAGTGTTTTTATCTTGCGTAAAAAGGGCTTTGCTTTGGTCAGTGGTGCTTGTTTTTTTTAAACTTTTTCTATCATCACTGATTTGGGCTATCTGGTCAGCACATTCAACCACCATAAAGATTGATAAAATATTCAACTTGTGTATTGATCTGTTAACACAGACGTGCTGACACATCCACGGATGTGGTGATGAATCCACTGAAGTGGTGACAAATCCACATATGTAGTGACACATACACAAATGACTTTGTCACACCACTCCTGCTCATATAGTCAGAAGATTTTAACTTGACAGGCATTTGGTTTATGTATGCGTGGTGTCTGGTAGTTTACTAGTTGGTCAGTGAAGTTGTACCAGCACTGTGCTGGTTTGCTCAGCTTGACAGTGTACACTTACCCAATGTTTATCTTACTTAATTCAAACAAAACCTGGCATATGGTGTTTTTAAAGTTATACTTTCTGCTTGCCATGGTATGCTCTACTTTCTGGTTCCCATGGTGTGCCCTACTTTCTGCTTCCCATGGTGTGCCCTACTTTCTGCTTCCCATGGTGTGCTCTACTTTCTGGTTCCCATGGTGTGCCCTACTTTCTGCTTCCCATGGTGTGCTCTACTTTCTGGTTCCCATGGTGTGCCCTACTTTCTGCTTCCCATGGTGTGCTATACTTTCTGGTTCCCATGGTGTGCCCTACTTTCTGCCTCCCATGGTGTGCCATACTTTCTGCTTCCCATGGAGTGTTACCATTATGTAACCCTGGCCAAACTTCCAGCACTAGATAATTTAATGAGAGATCTCTGTCATTTGTTGCATATCCAAAAAGAACAAAACATTAATAATTAACAAAAAATGGGACTGGGTCTCTGTGCACCTGAAATTTTACTTTTATTTTTCTGTTTTTTTATTTTATTTTGAACATTTGAATGTTTTAATGCATCCTTTTAAGTTCTTGTTTAGGTTTAATGAGTGTTAACAAATGTGTTTTCAGTCTTCACAAACACATCACATATACACACATGAGATTTTAGACTGCTCAAGTCAACTTGTTGGAGTCATTTTATATTTTCCTGAGCATGTTGTAATGTCACTTTTGTTCCATGAAGTTATCGCATGTCATTTAAACATCATCTAAATGGCATAAACTGAGAGCATGTCATCTGTGATCCATTAAATGTCATTGACCAACAGCATGTGACCTTTGACCCTGTGTGTCTACACAGCATGTGACCTTTGACCCTGTGTGTCTACACAGCATGTGACCTTTGACCCTGTGTGTCTACACAGCATGTGTTATCTCCACCCCACCTCCTGCACTGACCTACTCTTGATATTATCCTGTGGTGCTTTAGATCATTTATTTTACTATAAGATTTGTGTCATGTTGTCTTTTTTACTATAAGAATTCTGTCTTATGTAGTTTTTATTTTACTATTAATAATTCTGTCCTATGTAGTTTATTTTACAATAAGAATTCTGTCTAATATAGTATATATAATTTTGTACCTCTATGTTGAAAGTTCAAGTTTTCTGTTTAGGTTTTATATTCCACATTTATAGACTTCTATAAAAAAAAGAGTGTACATCATCTTAGCAATAGTGTTTTTAGTATATTAAATATATTAATAGTATATTAAACTATATTTTGAATGCCATCTTCCAATATCAATGTCATTGTCTCTTGCATAAAAACTATTTTTATATTGACAACTTTTATGGGCTATACATTTAAAAAAAAAATTAGAATTAAGTGCTTTTGCAATCTTCTATGAAAGCTAAAACTTAATCTGACAATTTCAGGCTGGAGAGCTGAACTCAGTACGAGGGGAACTAACTGAGAGCCAGGAGTTGCTGAACCAGGAGAAGACTGCCAACACAGAGTTACGGAACCTGTTGAACAAAGCAAGAGAGGAGTCTGACAATATTAAAAACATTTTGAGCAAGGAGAGAGAGAGATTAGAGGAGTTGAGTGTGAGAAATGAAGAGTTGAGTCAACATGAAGAAGTGAACCATGATCTGAAGAAGAAGGTGGCTGCTCTAGAAGATGAGCTGTCACAAGCAGCTGATGGGGGCAAGGTGAAGGCTGCTCAGCTAGACCAGCCAGCTCACCAGGATTCCTGGTCACAGGTGGACAGCTCCGATGTAGTGGACAATGGTCAACTGGAAGCTGCCAGTGCAGGTGAGGATGAGATTAGTGTGCTGAAGAGACAGTTGCTGGACAATGAGGAAATTCTCAGACAGCGCCAGACAGCTCTGCTGGAACTTCAGACAGACAACGAGGCTCTGGTTGCTGAGAGAAACACTTTGCAAGAATTGGTAGGACAAAATGTCCAAACCATAGAGGACCTTAATCAGCAGCTTGATCAAAATGTCCTCACTATTGAGGACCTCAATCAACAACTTGATGAAAATGTCCTCACTATTGAGGACCTCAACCAACTACTTGATCAAAATGTTCTAACTGTAGAGGACCTGAAGAGTCAGCTGTATATCCGCCAATCTTGTTTGCTTGATTTGGAAGCTGAGAGAAACACACTGAGGGAGGAAAAGAATATTCTGGAAGAAGCCCTGAAGCAGGGATCTAACGACCAAATGAGAGATGACCAGTTGACCATCAGGCATCATGTGGAGAGACATGCTAGAGTGACACGTCAGCACTCTGATGTCCAGCTGATGCTGCAGGAGAAAGATGACCTCATCAGAGAACAGGAGGAAAAAATAGAAGAGCTACAGTCTCAGCTTGAGAGGCTGACCCAGCCCATGATGTTAGATGACGCCAGCCAGCAACCCCAATCCATTGTAAGTGACGTCACAAGAGCTCTGAGGGGCGTGAGCTTGTCGTCATCACTGCCATCAGATAGCAGCACTCTCCTGATGGGCATGACTCGCTGGGAGTCTGAGCCTGCCAGCCTGGCTATGGGAGACAGCTGTTACATCAAGTTCCGCATGACCGAGGCCGAGAGGTTAGCCAGGCAGCAACAGAGGGAGTTGTCCAAGGAAAACCTTGAACTTGAAAAGGTCAGGTACGACCTGGAGCGTTGGCTGAGGATGCAGAAAGATAGAAGCCAGGTAAGAGAGTTTTATAAAACATTGCTAAAATATGGACAGTTTTTTAATTGGATGATGTATTGAATCAAATTTGTTTATATAAAAAATCTTTCCTTCTTTCTTATTTAATAAAACTTTAACTGATTTGATTAAAATTTATGTCAAATAAACAATTTGTTAAATGAGAAGTTTATAAACATGTTGATCTCATATGTATCAATAGGGACATCTCAGTTGTTTCATTAATTCTTTCGTATTGAGAAGCTAATACCATCTTTCTCTTTACTTTCATAGCAGGACAAAGAATATGCTGAATTAAGTATCAAGGTACAGGAGCTAAGAATCATTGTGGAAGAAAAAGAAAGTTTGATAATTTCACTAAGGGAGGAATTAGAATCTGTCAAAGCTTTATATCAGCAGGCTATAGAATCAGATCACACAACTAAACAAAGTGAATTACATGAACTAAAAACAATTGTGGAAGAAAAAGAAATTGTAATAATTTCACTAAGGGAGGAATTAGAGTCTTTGAAAGGTTTGTACCAGAAAGCTGTGACATCTAATAACAGAACCCAACTAGGTGAATTACAGGAACTTCAAACAGTTGTCAATGAAAAAGAAAGTCTGATAATTTATCTAAGGGAGGAGTTGGATTCTATGAAAGCATTATACCAGCAGTCTATAGAATCAGATCACAGATCTCAACAAGGGGAAGTACAGGAACTTCAAAGAGTTGTAGAAGAGAAGGAAAGTCTGATAATTTCTCTAAGAGAGGAGTTGGATTCTGTGAAAGCCTTATATCAGCAGTCTATAGAATCCGATCACAGATCTCAACAAAGGGAAGGAAGTCCTTCCAGCCTGTCTCCAGAAACCAAACAGTCAATCTCTCAATTAAAACTACAGCTTAGGAAAGCACATTCAGGTAACAAATACAATTGACAAACTAAAATGTTTGTTTCATTGTGTGTTTTTTTTTAATTTATTCACCTAAAAATACTTTTACATTTATGAACATTTTTAGCAGCAGGATATATAATGGATATTAAATTGTCAGTTTTATAAATTTTTACAAATATTTTATGTATGGTTTGAAATATTGTAAACTCTGGTATATTTTGTTTAGCCTTGGAAGAGATGCACAACCAGCAACATTCTAACAGAGAGCCTGACACAAAGGACAGAAACTTGGAACAGGAAGTGGAAGATTTGAGGCAAACTCTCCAAATCAGGGATGAGGAACTGTCCATTCTGAGGTCAAAGATGAGAGATGACCAGGTAAACTGATGCCCCCAGCATTCATAACAGTAGAACTACCCAGTTGACTAGCTCTAGGCTTAGTATACTTTACCACCTACTTTCTGGTCTAAGTATACTTTACCACCTACTTTCTAGTCTTATTATACTTTACCACCTACTTTCTAGTCTTACTATACTTTACCACCTACTTTCTAGTCTTACTATACTTTACCACCTACTTTCTGGTCTTACTATACTTTACCACCTACTTTCCTATCTTACTATACTTTACCACCTACTTTCCTATCTTACTATACTTTACCATATATTTTCTAGTCACTATTCTATACCACCTACTTTCTAGTCTTAAGTGATCCTAATGTTTTAAGTATAAAAACAAAGAAGAAAGAAGATAAAGTATATAATAGTGTGTTAATATTCATTAACCCAATTAGGTTTGTTTTGTCATACATAATTCTATTGATAAAATACTTAGATGAATTTTATTTTTTAGAAAATAAAGGAGAAGCTACCCTCTCAAGTCTTACGAGCAGATGGTTTCAATACACCTTTATCTACATCAGGTAACTCATCATTAAAGCTTGAATAAGACATTTAGCATTATGTGTGTTATTGCAGCAAATAAACTTTGTTTTTGTTTTTAAAGAGCATGTAAAAGTCTTTTGTTACTATTTTGTAGCACAAGAAACATCATTCTCAGTTGATGGCATGCCAGATAGACTACAGGTAAGAATTGATTTTTGGATGAAATTTTAAAATATTGGAAGTAAATTCCTTTATAGATGTTGTTATGGTGTATAAATTAAGAGAAAACATTGTATGAATGATATTGTATAAAATAATGTCCAGATTAGTATCCCAGTCATGTAACATGTTAGGAGAACTTTAGAATTGACTGTGTTGTTACACTCTAGAATTGACTGTGTTGTTACAGGTTTTGTTACAACACTTGAACAGCTTGGGAGAAAACCTCCTTAGTTTATCAGACCTGCAGTACTTACAGAATTGCTTGTTGCCTAGCAACCAGATGAGCTCCTCACAGTACCAGGCATTAACAGAATCCCTGAATGAATTAAAGGACATGGTGCCTCACATTGAGGAAATCTTGGAAGAGGTAATGTTTCAAGTGGAGTCTTTTACATGACATTCAGCTAGTGTATTCTGGTGTCTCTGCATTGGAGGTCCCACGCTACATGACATTTAGTGTCCCATGCTACATATTTAGTGTCCCATGCCACATGAGATTTAGTGTCTCATGCCACATGAGATTTAGTGTCCCATGCTACATGACATTTAGTCTCCCATGCTACATGACATTTAGTGTCCCATGCTGTTTTGATGCTACATGGCATTGTGGGTTTCATACTTTGTGACTGCTGGTTTCCCATGCTGTTTAGATCTCCCATGCTTTATGAGACTGGGTCACATTCTATATGAGACTGTGGGTCCCATTCTATATGACATTTGGTTTCCCATTCTGCTTGAGATTAATTTACATGTGTGAGAGATGCTCACATTTTTTCTCTTTTTGTGATCCCCCTGGCTTATGAGCATTGCTTGAGCTGATTAAACTAATGTCAAAGAGAGAGGGTGATATCAAGATAAATTATGTTTAAGGATGGTTATTCTAGCTGTAAACAATTTAAAAAAACCCAAGCATAGCTAACTGTACGTTACATGTACCCACAGACAAGTGAAGACTGGAGGTATGAGCTACTGGAGGCTGTGCTCAAGTTCTTTAAGAAACAGGCTGAGGCTCTACAGACACAAATAGACCAGTCCTACAACACCATTGATGGCAACCATCTCAGGACCAGACTTCAAATGATGGTAATATCATGTCCTTGTTTTGGCACAGGATTATTGTATAATTTTGGCATCTATAACTTAGTTTAGTAAAAAGACATTGTCCTCTTATGTTAAATATTTATAAGTAATAGATTTCAAATTAGATATCATGCTTTAAAAACATGTGTTTTTAAATAGACTTCTAAAAAAAAATGTACTAACAAAATCCTGTACAACTCTTAACATTGGTAGAGAAAGCACACATCATTCAATGGATTCAATAGTCTGTTTCTTATGACTTTATAATAGGAAGAAATGCATCGGTCAACAGTGGATGAACTGCTCCATGCTGACCGCCAGTCTCTGTTACAACAAATAGACTCACTACACCAGCGCCTCCTGGAGGCCAGGAATAATTTAGAGGAAACCAAAGAGGAGCTGGGCCAGAGGATCTCTAGCCTGGAGGAGAGCAAGTCTAAGGAGGAGTGGAAGCTGAGGAGACAGGGTAAGATGCTGCTCATACTGGAGCTGATAGTTGATTGAGTGGTTGGGGCATCACATACTTTTGTCAGCTCAGTGTGAGGTTGTACCACTACATATCACATACATTAGTCTGCCTAATGTGAGGTTGTACCACTATATATCACATACATTAGTCTGCCCATCTTGAGGTTATGGGCACTGTGTGTCAATATTTTGGACTGCCCAATTGGAGGTTATGGGCACCATGTATCAATATTTTGGACTGCCCAATGTGAGGTTATGGGCACCATGTATCAATATTTTGGACTGCCCAATTTGAGGTTAGGGGCACCATGTATCAATATTTTAGACTGCCCAATTTGATGTTATGGGCACCATGTATCAATATTTTGGACTGCCCAATTTGATGTTATGGGCACCATGTATCAATATTTTGGACTGCCCAATTTGAGGTTAGGGGCACCATGTATCAATATTTTGGACTACTCATTGTGAGGTTATGAATGGTGTATCTGTCACAGATGAACCATGGCCATAGCCATGCTCTGTTACATTGTTCAGCATGACAGACCTGGTGTCCTGACTGTGACTGAGCCTCCATGAGCTGGTAACACCTAGCCCTGTCCTATTGTCCCCAGTTCAAATGGTGGAGAACAAGCTTCAGCAAGAGGAAATCATCAAAGATGACTTGAAGAACTCCCTGAAGATGGAGAGACAACGCTTGACCGATGCCTTGTCAGAGTCCAACCAGGAGAAGGCCAAAGTTCTGGAACTTCAGTCTGAGCTGTCCTTCACACAGATTCACCTGTCTAAGGCCAAGGATGCGGTGGAGCGGGAACAGCAACGCTTTTCATCTGTCTTGTAAGTTGATTTCTTTTCATCTGTTTTGTAAGTTGATTTTTTTTGTTCAGTTTAAGTTCATTTGTTTCATCGGTTTTGTAAATCAAATTCATTGTTTTCATTCTGATGGGGGAAATATCTTAGTTAAAAAAGTTATAGAAGGACAGTGTTCATATTTTTGTAAATGGTAACTTCATATAGCGAACACATGTTTAAAAATTTCACACATTTTAAATCACTTTCTCTATACAAGCCACTGTTATCATCCCCAATCCTCACACACTCCAATCACCCCCAATCCTCACACACTCCAATCACCCCCAATCACCCACTGACTTCTCTCAGGTTAGACTGGAGCCAAGCCCTGTAAGTGTTTTACCTGTGGCTGCTACTGTGTCTTGTGCTGGTGGTTATGTCCCTTGCCTGCTTGTGCTGCTTTGTGTCTACCAAGTGTTAGGACCATTTTAAAATACTTGTTAAAAATAGCCCCAAAGTTTACACTTTTATAGTTTAAAATGCCAGTACTTACAATCTCAGTGAGTGTGTTAACATGCACTTTATATAGTTCATGTATTTACCAACAAATTTGTTTAACCATATTTTATATGTGTATATATATATATATATATATATATATATATATATATATATATATATATATATATATATATATATATATATATATATATATATATATATATATATATATATATATATATTTGACTCATTAAAGCATGAACCAGGAGTGTTTTTTACCTAAAGAATAGTTGAGATTTTAAAAAGCTTTGGTTTTCTTGCTAAAATACTTGGATACTTGGAGCTGATCTTTCAATTCTTTGTTTCTCTGCTGAATGTCTGACATTTGATCAGGGTTATGCCTCTAGGGTTAGGGTCAACATTTCTGTTCTGGTCTCATTGTGTAGTGTGTGGGTCATATGTGGCGATGGTGTTAGGGTCTGTTTGTGGGTCATATGTGGTGATGGTGTTAGGGTCTGTGTGTGAGCCATGTGTGGGTCATGTGTGGTGATGGTGTTAGGTTCTGTTTGTGGGTCATATGAGGTGATGGTGTTAGGTTCTGTTTGTGGGTCATATGAGGTGATGGTGTTAGGTTCTGTTTGTGGGTCATATGAGGTGATGGTGTTAGGTTCTGTTTGTGGGTCATATGAGGTGATGGTGTTAGGTTCTGTTTGTGGGTCGTATGAGGTGATGGTGTTAGGGTCTGTGTGTGGGTCATGTGTGGTGATGGCGTTAGGGTCTGTATGTAGGTCATATGAGGTGATGGCGTTAGGGTCTGTATGTAGGTCATATGTGGTGATGGTGTTAGGGTCTGTGTGTGGGTCATGTGTGGTGATGGCGTTAGGGTCTGTATGTAGGTCATATGAGGTGATGGTGTTAGGGTCTGTATGTAGGTCATATGTGGTGATGGTGTTAGGGTCTGTGTGTGAGTCATGTGTGGTGATGGCGTTAGGGTCTGTATGTAGGTCATATGAGGTGATGGCGTTAGGGTCTGTATGTAGGTCATATGTGGTGATGGTGTTAGGATCTCTGTGTGTTGGTGGGTCATGTCTGGTGATGGTGATTTGGGTCAAACATCACTCCTATTTCATCAGAAAATCTCCAATTTGTTGGGACAACAATTTATTTTTTCCCCCACTGATCACATTGAAGTAACAGCTACATCTAGTAAGATGTTTAAAAATATTTTTTTAAATGTGTTAAGTATATTTCTTGCTTAACTTAGACTAAAACCTACTAAATCTGGCCACTAAATAAGCCTGTAAAAATCCAGTTTTTTCATGTTAGCATCAAGTCTTGCCAATCATCTGATAAGGTAGAGATGATGTTAGGTTTGAATTAACAAACTCAGTCATTAGCTTCTAGATGGTGTGTTTTCTTCTCTGCATCTTGTGTGTGCAACTTTTTCTAGTCTCCTAACTACTGGGTCGACAGAAGTTGATTACATAATATTTTAACAATAATTAGGCTAATACATCCAAGGCTGTGCAACATGATTTAAGTTAAAATTTTTAAAATGTAAATGATGCGGCATTTAGTTTCACTTTTCATATGTGTGTATGTGTGATTGCAATGATCTTGTAAAAGCTTTATACCTAACTATTTAATGAGCTCATGTTTTATGACTGTAGCTGTGAATAAAACATTTGTGGCTGTGAATGAAACATTTGTGGCTGTGAATGAAACATTTGTGGCTGTGAATGAAACATTTATGGCTGTGAATAAAACATTTGTGGCTGTGAATGAAACATTTGTGGCTGTGAATGAAACATTTATGACTGTGAATGAAACATTTGTGGCTGTGAATGAAACATTTGTGGCTGTCTGTTTCAGTGATGCCCTAGAGGAAGAGAAAGTGAAGTCTTCCAGGCTGGCTGATCTTCTAGAGTCCACCAGACAGAAGCTGCAGGCTCTACAGCAGGAAGTGGCTGAAGCAGATCAGAGGAACCACCAGAAGTATCAGTCTGGGGAGAGCTTGATTAAGGTGAACATTTGTAGACAGTGGGGAATAGTTGTACAAGGTGGTGTGGGAAATATTGATAGATGTTTTTCTGGTAAATATATTAGACACATGTGTTTTATTATTCACACGTAGATGTCTAGATGATATGTACTGGATGTATAAAACAGTTTGTCTCAATTTTTTGTTGGTGTTGTAGGAGCAGCAAGAAGAACTAGTGAGAGAAAGACAGAGAAGTTTTCAGTTTTCTCAAGCAGAAGAGCAAGCCAAGCTAGAGATCTTTGAGCTATCCACACAGTTGGAAGCTCAGGAGAGAAAACTGGCAGCACTTAGTCATGAATATGAGGAGAAAATTGAAGCTTTACATAGGCAACACATGGAAAGGTAACTCTAATTGCCGGCATGCTCGTCTTTCAAAAAAAAAAGAAGCAAAAACATGTTTAAAATGTACTTGTTAATATTTTAATAAGGAACAGGTTACCGGTCGGATGTCATTCTAGAAGTTTTAACTTGTTTTTTTATGACTTTAGATGAAGAATGGAATCATACAAAAAATTATTATGGTGAATTATTGTGTTGTAGAGAGTTGATGTATCGTGTGGATGGAGAGTCACAGTCTCTGAGAGATTTACTAGAAGTGGAGAGACAGAATCATCAGACAAGACTGGAACAAGAGAGGGAGATCAACAAAAAACTGTTGGAGCAAATCAACACACTGAAGGTATGTTGTCTTGCATAGAGGTTAGAACCAATAAAAAACTGTTGGAGCATATGATCATTGGCTTCAGATAGTCCCAAAGCTGGATGTTGGGTATACATATGATCTGTAGCTTCAGATAGTCCCAAATCTGGATGTTGGGTATACACATGATCTGTGGCTTCAGAAAGTTGGATGTTGATCTGTGGCTTCAGAAAGCTGGATGTTGGGTATACATATGATCTGTGGCTTCAGATAGTCCCAAATCTCTCTGTTGGGTATACACAGGGTTCGTACGCAGTCTGGAAAGTCTGGAAAAAGTCTTGAATTTCGAAAAGTGAATTTAAGACTTAAAAAAGTCTGGAAAATCGCTAGTTTTTGGGCAGAATTTTTTAAAAGTCTGGAAAAAGTCTGGAATCTAGTTTTAGAAACAAAACTTCGTAGTCCATATTTTCCAACTTAAAAAATTGCTAGTTTTAAGTGAATTTACTCCAATTTTTTTCCCGCGCTGTCGCGCGGGTTTACACTATGTTTGTTGTGACGTTTTTTCGCTGGTTCGCAGAAAAAATGCTCAGTTACTACGTCATTGGGAGAAGAGGGGAAGGGAGGGAAGAGATTTTGTGGCACGACTGACCGTGTGAATGTGTTACAAGTACTTACAATTGTCGTTTAATGAAAGAATGATCGCCGTCATGATTGTTACCAATGTTAGGCTCTCGATTTTACCCGCTATTTTTTCATCGTTTGAGTTTGCATGCAGGCAGTCATAAAAAAAAAATTATGGGGGGGGGGGATGTGTGAGTGGTAGCTTAGATATAATTTATCAGTCTGTAAGGCGTCATCCATTTATGACTTACAACAATTTTTCGGATTTTAGACCCCCCCCCCTTCCCCACTCCCCCGCCCTCTGTCCACACCGCGTTCACTTACTTTGGATTAATATTAACATTTATAAGATTAATAAGTCGCAAGGCCTCCTTGGGTTCATACCTGTAATTCTGTTTGCTTCAGCTTAACAAAGAGGTACTATTTTTATTTAGGAGTCGTCCATAAATGACGTCACACTCCGGAAAGTCGGGAGGAGGGTTTTATAAAGTGTGATGACACGCTCTTGCAATAATGTTGGGGCAGATATAAATACCGTGTTTTATTTACACGCTGTGATGGGTTTTTAAAACACCAGCACAGTCGTCTTAATTTTACTTTCTACTCGCAAGATAAAAGTTTTATGTTTGTTTTAGAATGTAATCACATCCATGTGTACGTCATAAATGGATGACCCCTTTAATTTTAATCCACCTTCCATTAAACTGTTTTTGAAATCTTTGCAAATGCTGACGATTAAAGTTAGACTACCCCGCCCCTCCTTGTAACATCGGTCACTTGTGCGAACTCACCGTGACCCCAAGTGCGTAGTTGGTACCGCTTAGTAAGTAGGGTGGGGGAGGGGGTATAAGTCACAGCACAGTTCATGTTATGACGTATTAAACAGGCATACTGAAGTCTAGACTACTATGACATCACAGTGACCCCTTCACCGTGTAGTGTCTGTGGGGGGGGGGAGGGGAGAAGGATACCGGCAACTTTTTTTTTAAATTGCAGACCCGTTTCTCAGCTATTACTATAACTATAAGCACAAACAGTGAATGATTTTTTTTTTTTTTTTGCTCCACATTTTTTTTTTACAAGTAGCCTATATTTATTTAGGCTACTTAACAAGAGCAGACCTAAATTAATACAGTACATTATTAATATTATTCTTTAAAGTAATTAACTCTCACTATTATGCAATACCATTTTAATGATAGTTTAATTGAAAACATAAGCAATTAGATTCGGAACAGATTACATAAGTCTAATGTTGGAAACAAAATAGCTGCACCATTTTAATCCATTATTTTAATTGTTAAAATTTTAGGTAGGGTGGAGTAGGCAAACTTAGAAAAAAATGTTTTTTTGTCAATTTGACTAGAGAAAGTTCACTATGAATATAGCTCAATTGCCTAAAATAAATGTCAATTTAGTATAAGTAATTATAATGACAGTACAAATAGTGCATTTTAAAAAAATTATTCGCTAACACATTATCTGTCTAAAGTCTGGAATTTTTCCAAAAAAGTCTGGAAAATGTCTGGAAAAAGTCTGGAATTTCATTTTTAAAAAGCAGTACGAACCCTGTATACATATGATCTGTGGCTTCAGATAGTCTCAAAGCTAGCTGTTGGGTATACATATGATCTGTGGCTTCAGATAGTCCCAAATCTGGATGTTGGGTATACATATGATCTGTGGCTTCAGATAGTCCCAAATCTCTCTGTTGGGTATACATATGATCTGTGGCTTCAGAAAGCTAGCTGTTGGGTATACATATGATCAGTGGCTTCAGATAGCTGGATGTTGGGTACACATATGATCTGTGGCTTCAGATAGTCCCAAAGCTGGATGTTGGGTATACATATGATCTGTGGCTTCAGATAGTCCCAAATCTGGATGTTGGGTATACATATGATCTGTGGCTTCAGATAGTCTCAAAGCTAGCTGTTGGGTATACATATGATCTGTGGCTTCAGATAGTCCCAAATCTGGATGTTGGGTATACATATGATCTGTGGCTTCAGAAAGCTGGCTGTTGGGTATACATATGATCTGTGGCTTCAGAAAGCTGGATGTTGGGTATACATATAATCTGTGGCTTCAGATAGTCCCAAAGCTGGATGTTGGGTATACATATGATCTGTGGCTTCAGATAGTCCCAAAGCTCTCCTTCTTTAAAAACTATTTTCCACTGCCTGCTGTTGTTAAAATGAATCTTGTTTACTGCTGATATCAGACCGAGGTGGGCCAGTTGAAAGAGAACTATGAAAGTGAAAAGTCTAGAGCAGACTTGTACAAGGTTGAACTGGACGGTGTCCTGGTGCAGCAGGACAGAAGGGGCTCAAGCAGTGACAGCCAGGGGTCAGTGAGTGCTGAACTGACCTGCCTTGAGAGCACAGTGTGTAGACACATCCCAGCCCTGGAGCAGGACAGGGAGACCCTCAGGTTGAAAGTGGTAAGTCTCAGGTCTACACATCTTATAGTGGTAAGTCTCAGGTGTACACATCTTATAGTGGTAAGTCTCAGGTGTACACATTATATAGAGCAGCTCAGGTTAAAAGTGGTAAGTCTCAGGTGTACACATTATATAGAGCAGCTCAGGTTAAAAGTGGTAAGTCTCAGGTGTACACATTATATAGAGCAGCTCAGGTTAAAAGTGGTAAGTCTCAGGTGTACACATTATATAGAGCAGCTCAGGTTAAAAGTGGTAAGTCTCAGGTGTACACATTATATAGAGCAGCTCAGGTTAAAAGTGGTAAGTCCCAGGTGTACACATCTTAAAGTGGTAAGTCTCAGGTGTACACATCTTATAGTGGTAAGTCTCAGGTGTACACATCTTAAAGTGGTAAGTCTCAGGTGTACACATCTTAAAGTGGTAAGTCTCAGGTGTACACATCTTATAGTGGTAAGTCTCAGGTGTACACATCTTATAGTGGTAAGTCTCAGGTGTACACATCTTAAAGTGGTAAGTCTCAGGTGTACACATCTTAAAGTGGTAAGTCTCAGGTGTACACATCTTAAAGTGGTAAGTCTCAGGTGTACACATCTTATAGTGGTAAGTCTCAGGTGTACACATCTTAAAGTGGTAAGTCTCAGGTGTACACATCTTAAAGTGGTAAGTCTCAGGTGTACACATCTTAAAGTGGTAAGTCTCAGGTGTACACATCTTAAAGTGGTAAGTCTCAGGTGTACACATCTTATAGAGCAGGACAGGTAGGCCCTCAGGTTAAAAGTGGTAAGTCACAGTTGTACACATAATGTAGCAGTTTACAATACCATATACATTACAAAAATCTGTTGCTTTTTACGGCTATGTGTCATTTTAAATGAATGTTCTATGTTAATCTAGTCATTATAAGATTGTGTTAAAAATAAGTTTTTACAACTTTTTTGTCTACATTATCAGAGCCAGCTAGAAGAAGAGCTGAGCAGAATTCAGGAGAAAACCAGGCAAGTTGAGTTCCAGATGGCCAAACAAAATGTGTCTGCTGGTCATTCTTCAAGGTCAACTAGAACAGTCAGGGAGGAAATGATCAAATCTTTGTTGGCTGTAAGTCAAATAATTATTGTCAATACATTTAATTTCAAGTTTTTCCTGTTTCATCTGTTTTAGTGCACTTATCTATGATATTTAAAAGTTTTTGTCTTATCTATATTTCTTATCTTGCTTATTAAATAAGTACTTGCCTTGTCCAAGCAATAAATTCTTGTCCAAGACCTTATTCTCCATGCATGAATTTCTTGTGTTATACAAAAATATACTCTTGTCTATGAAACATGTACTTCTTGTGTATTTGAATTAGATTTTGTCTAGTCTATGAAATAAGGTCTTACCTCTTCCATGCAAGAAATGTGTGTATTTTCTGTACAAGAAATACTTGTGTTGCTAATACAAGTTCTACTTGTGTTGCTCGTGCAAGTTATACTTGTGTTGATAATGCAAAATATATGTTTGTTGCTCATACAAAAAATATGGGTTGCTTATACAAAAAATATGTGTTGCTCATACAAAAAATTTGTGTTGCTCATACAAAAAATTTGTGTTGCTCATACAAAAAATTTGTGTTGCTCATACAAAAAATTTGTGTTGCTCATACAAAAAATTTGTGTTGCTCATACAAAAAATTTGTATTGCTCATACAAAAAATTTGTGTTGCTCATACAAAAAATTTGTGTTGCTCATACAAAAAATTTGTGTTGCTCATACAAAAAATTTGTGTTGCTCATACAAAAAATTTGTGTTGCTCATACAAAAAATTTGTGTTGCTCATACAAAATATGTGTGTTGCTCATACAAAAAATATATGTGTTGCTCATACAATGCACCCTTCCCTGACCCCAGGTGAGTGATGACAGAGAGGACGTAATGCACAGGTTGTCTCTGTGCTGCAGCAAGCTACAGGGTGTGTACAGGAGACTGGACACACTGAGCACATCAGAGTGGCAGCACACACAGGAGGAGACCACAGAGTTCCAGCACATCATGCTGGAGCTGAACAAACTCAAGGAGGAGGTCAACCAGAGGGAACATGTTTACAAACAAGTACAAGCATTTCTAATTAGGGCTTTACTGTATAGAGACACAGATTTTATTCCATTTCCCATCCTGATCATGCTCTCTTTAAAGTCAGTTTTGTTTCTTCTGTTTTTTTTTTTTTCTGATTTTTTGTACCAGTCTCCGATAATAGAATCTTTTTTTAAAAAGGTCGTTAGGTTACTCGAAGTTAACTAAAATACACAAACAGCTTGCTATTGCTAATGGTAGCCCTAACCTCAACCCTATTCCTACCATACACCTAACCCTAATTTCTAATCACAAAACTATTTGAGATTGATTACAATACTATTAACAAACTAGCACACCTATTTTTGGAAGAATCTATTATTGGATATTGGTATCTTCAATGATCCCTGTTTTTTTTTTTTGTTGACTGGGTTGATTTGCCAATCTCACAATATATCAAGCTGTGTTTTGGCTTGGAACTTTCTTGATAATCCATAAGGTTTATTTCTAATTTTAAACTGATGCCATTCCCAATGTGATATATATCTTAGGTGCGCAGTGAATTAAAGAGACTAAACCATCACAACCAGCAACTGAGTGATCATGTTGTCAGGTTAAAACAAGAGAAAGAACTCTTGTCCAAGACATTACATACTCTAGAGATGAGGCTCCAGGCGGCAGCTACTCAGGTAAACATCTGCTCTACATGTGTGCTCTACACATTTAAACTTAATACATTCATCTACATGTGCTACACAGGTTAAATTTAGATACATTACATGGTGGAACATTTAAACACGAATGTTTCATTGATATATCTACCTACAATGTTCTCCTATTTGATTGTGTGTTCTTTAGTCTACCACTTTGATGTTCTTTAACTGTTCTTTAATCAACCACTTTATGTTCTATATCTGTTCTTTAGTAAACCACTTTAATGTTCTATATCTATTCTTGAGTCAACCACTGAATGTTCTATAACTGTTGTTGATTTAACCTTGTATCACCTGTTATGTTCCAGCCTCAGGTTCAAGTCCCCCACTACACATCAGAAAGTGCCAGTGAAGAAGATGTGGTCTATGACAGGACCATGTGGGCCAGTGAGAGACTCAGTCTTCAGATGGCGCTGGATTCTGCTGAACATGAAATCCAAAGACTGAGGGCAGAAGTCCAACAGTTCAGATCTATAATGCATTCTGATGGAGGGACTGTGGATGTGGGCAAGGTAATGGCAATCTGAGTTTGGTTTACCAACACTGAAAAGAGAGTTTGGTTTACCAACAGTGAAAAGAAAGTTTTGTTTACCAACACTGAAAAGAGAGTTTTGTTTACCAACACTGAAAAGAGAGTTTGGTTTACCAACAGTGAAAAGAGAGTTTTGTTTACCAACAGTGAAAAGAGAGTTTTGTTTACCAACACTGAAAAGAGATTTTTGTTTACCAACACTGAAGTGAGAGTTTGGTTTACCAACACTGAAGTGAGAGTTTGGTTTACCAACACTGAAATGAGAGTTTTGTTTACCAACACTGAAAAGAGATTTTTGTTTACCAACACTGAAGTGAGAGTTTGGTTTACCAACACTGAAATGAGAGTTTGGTTTACCAACACTGAAGTGAGAGTTTTGTTTACCAACCCTGAAAAGAGAGTTTGGTTTACCAACACTAGAACTTCTATAGGTATTTTAATCACCTTTTACCAACAATAGATGTCCAGTGGTTGATTTACAGACTTTCTTAAATTTCTTGGCTGTTCATTGTTGTTATACTCTCTAAAAACAATTATTTTTATTTATTTTTTTGTGTTATAACTGAGTACAAAAATCTGTTTTTCTCTTACAGACTGGTCGACTGTATGGAAAGTATTTGAGAGCTGAAAGCTTCCGTAAAGCTCTGATTTATCAGAAAAAATATTTGCTGCTGTTGCTGGGAGGCTACAGGGACAGCGAGCAGGAAACCCTGGCCATCCTAGCATCCATGGGGGGATTTCCTGATCCTCACACTGGATTGGTTGTTAGGACTCACTCAAGGGCATTCACTGTCTTCAGGTCTGCTGGCAGAGTTATCATTGCTATATCTAGGTAAGTTTCAGCATAGCTCTAGAATTCAGTGCCCTAAATCTGCCAATAATGTTACCTTTATTAACTGATAATTTTTTATGATTGCAATAATTACAGGATGAAATATTTGGTCAAAAAATGGAAAAGAGCAACCAGAGTTGGTTCCCCTGTGATGACTGGCCAAATTTCTCCACTTCAAAGTAAGTTATTGATCATATATATAACCACAACCCAATTCATAGTAAGTTATTGATCATATATTTAACCACAACCCAATTCATAAAATATGTTGACGTCTTTGTGTCAGACTACTACTGCACCACTGGAGATATAGTTTGAGAACTCCTGAGTTTAAAAGCTCTGACTGGTCCCATTTTCCCACAGCTTATGTCCATTCAAGTTACTCCAGCCACAGAAGGAAAGAAAAGGCAGATGAAGACTTTGCTGGAGGGATGTTACATCAGGCAGACTTTGGACTCCATGCTAGACCATACAACTATGACACACCTCCAACTAAAGATCTGCCTCATTCTCAGTCCAACAAGGCTGTCCATCGGCACAGGCCTGAAGAAGCTAGGCGGTAATGTTTGATTTTTTTTTCTAACAGGGAACATTTGTATTATTTTTTAATTCAAAATTTTTGCAGTCGATTATTTATATTATATTTTTAACTAGTAATCTAGTCCAACACACCAGAAAAACAAATATTTTATAAGGATTTCATCAACATGTTACCAACTGAGTTTTATAAAAAGTGTAAGGGTGTGGGTTTGTCCAAATAAACGCCCAGATGCTCCTGGGCATAATGAAGTATACGTTAATCACCCTCCGGGTGCCAGTTGCATCCCTTGGTTTGTTTTAGTCATCGAATAAGTAGCCCATTTAAACAAAATGTAGGTGCCATAGTGCTCACAGGGAAGACTGTGATGCTCCAGTCGCTCTCAGATACTTCCCCAAGACTACTCTTAACAACATGCCAAAGTTTCATGGCTATCAGATGAAAGGTGTAGTAATGCATCATAGACAGACAGACAGACACATCCTTTCACTTATATATATTTAGATAATATAATAATTATTTGTTAATATTGACTACTTATATTGAATGTTTTAAATGTTTATTTCTGCAGACGTATTTTCCAAGACAGTTATCCGGCACATTCTGAAAGCCAAGTGCGTGCACAAATAAACCATAATGCAGTCAGATCAGAGTCCAACCACATCTCTGCCAGTGGACTGTCCAACCACACCTCTGCCATTAGGCAGCTAAACCACAATTCTGCTATTGGACAGTTAAATCACAACTCTGCTAGTGGGCAGCTAAACCATAACATTACCACTAGACAGTTAAACCACAACTCACAGTTAAACCACAACTCACAGTTAAACCACAACTCAGCCAGAGCACAGACCAATCACAACACTGATGATTTCCTGTTCTACCTACAAAACGTCCAGCAGCGCCTCAGTGAAGGGGAATATGGTAAACTTTCTTGAAAGGCTATTATTAAATTAAATATTATCGAGTATGTTGCCGGTGGAATTTTTGTTTTGATACAACTTTTCTATAAAATTGATTTTGCCATTCTTGAGTTACTAACCCTTTACTAACCTTTTGTCTTTATATATATTTCAATCAGGGACAGGGAGAGAACTCTTGTGACAACAGAGTTGTGGAACATGAATACAAAAACTACTGACAGTTGCTGAAATGTTTGCTAAACTTGTTGAAAACATACATTTTCCCCATGTAAATTATCTTTATCATTCTTGTTATAAAAATGTTTGTACATATTACTAATACTAATCCATGACATTCTGGTACCCAACATCAAACTAGTTAGATGAAAAAGTTTTATCTTATGTTATTTATTTTTAAAATGATGCTAAGAAAATCAGAATTTGTTTAGTTTTAAACATTGGAAGTGAGAATGTTGTTTTGTTTATGAAAACTTTCTGTTAATGGAATCACCACAAAGTCCTTCCTATCTGGGTCTATGCAGTCACCTTATACTGTGTACAGGTTCTATCATTTTCTGTGATAATGTGGGCTCATAGTCAGTAAGATAACACAATAAATCTATTGTCTTATCACATTATTTTAATCACACTCTATCCCATATTAACCCATTTTGATCACATCTGTATAAACACATTTTTTAGATCGCATTCATTGTCCTGCATTATCAAATCATTTTAATCACATCCATTGCCTTGTATCTCCCATTATTTTGATCACGTCCATTGACTTGTATTTTATTATTTTGATCACGTCCATTTGAATTATTTATTTAGTATGCAATCACCACTCAGGTTGTTGATAAAACTGTGCTTGGAGGAAAGTTCTTGTTAAAAGGTCGTCCACACTGTTTTATAAGTTGCCCACTCTGAATCAAAACAAACATTACTATATACTCTTAAACCTTTAGTCATTGGAAATATATTCCCAGTGTGTACATTTATCTTTTAAAAAAGCATGTCCATAATCTGTAAATATACTTGTATGTAACTCTTCATTATCAATTGATGTATACCATTACATATTTTCTCAGAAAATATTCAAATATGACAAATAAAATGTAAATTTATTTTTAAAACATACCCTTGTTACATAATTATGTTATTGACTGAATGGAAGTTTCTTGTGCTTATTTCTTCTTTGTTCTTAATTTTTAATGTTGGAAGTGATCCATTCCTACACAATTAAATATATATGTTAACTGGTTATGCGCCATTGAGGCCATTGACTCCAATTTCAGCCTGCTTTTCTTTTTGGATTTCTTTCCATAGCGTTTGTCCAACCAAGAAAAAACTACAAGGCAGCAGTTGTTTGATTTTGGAGTTGTCTCTTCTAAAAGAGTGGCTGTCCCCAGCTAATGAGCCTCATCTGCCTGAGGATTTGAACTTGAGACTTTTCGGTTTAGAAACCATGAGCTTTACCGACTCAATCCCTTTATGTGGGTTTGATGTTTGTGATATGTGCCCAAGTTTAGAATAGAAAAATATTAATGGAAGAAATTTTTTCTTTCTCTCATATGCTACATTATAAGAGTTTTTATATCAATTTTCTGAGCTAAACAGTTTTCATTTTAAAAAAACTTCATGTTAGGCTCTCATTGGGGAGATGCTTCAATTTTAAACTAATTTGAAAGAGAGGTAAAGTTTATTTTTTAGATCTGTCAATCTCATTTGGCAGATATGTCAAGTAGTTACCAATAACAAAAAATATTTAACCTTCAATGGATTAATGGAAACTATTTGTACAGATTTTGACCTTTGAATATAAAAATCATCAATCTTATTGCAGCTATGATTTTTTAAATGTATCAGCTAGAAACTTCATGATGGGTGTCTAGATTCAAGTAGTAGATTGTATAAGGTTAATGCATTTTATGAAACTGTGGACGGATTCAATGAGAGTTGCTGTTCTGTTCAGATTTAATTCGAGGTATATTCTAATGCCAACCCCATACGTGCCATTTGACACCATTAGCAATGCACACATCTGGGAAACAACATTGACAAAGAAACTAGGAAAAGAATAGGGGGTTTGACAGGCCACACACTGTGTAGGCCAATATCATCAGACAGGCATTTGATGGAACCCACAAGAGGTCGACCAAGAAGACATGGTGACAGGACGTTGAAGCTGAAACTACAAAGATGGGCTACATCTTGAGTTAGGTTGAGAAAATGGCACAGGACAGAGGACTATGGAGATTTTTTATTGGAGGCACATTTCCCAGAAGGGGTGATGGGCAGTTTTGATGAACCACATGCTCTGATACATACAATGACAAACAAGAAAAATAAAAAAAAATTAGCAAAGTTACAGTCCTATCCATGTTCATGCTTCAAATATAAATGACAGTGGAAAGGGAAATAATATATAGGCCTATGGGTCTACATGTTAATGAAATTGTACTTGTTAAAATAAACGTTAAAGATTAATAGACCAGCAGTATTGTAATATTTAATATCACAAATGAATAAAAAAAAATCTACATTAGCAAAACAGCTTGAGCTTATGGTTTCATTTTTGCTGCTTTAAAAAAAAATATAAATAATTTTTTAATTAGTCCTATTTTATAATTAATGTTTAAAATCAATAATATTAATATATAAAATATAATTGCCTAGGCCCTAGATCTAGATTTTCATTTAGTATAGAGAAAGCATGTTTATTTTAATATTTTATATTATTTTAGGTTTCAACAGAATTTTAATGATATTTTAAAATGTTTAATTTGCTGTAATTAGACTACTAACTAGACTCTAGCTTTTAAAATAATGAATAGATAAGTGATTATTGTTGTCAAAAGTTAGAAACTATTCTAGATACTCTAGAATAGATCTTTTATACATGTTCATTATCTCTAGGGGAAAATGAAGGCCGACGTAGTGCCTAATGTTACTTTTTGGGTACTTTAATTATTTTTTTTAGCTCGGCAGATAGAGCTACCGTTGACTTCCTGTTATTATTTTAATTTAATAATAAACAAAACAATGGGCCTTAGCCTTAGAAAAATATAATTTTCTTTTAGATCTAATTAGATCTAGATCTAGAAAAAGAAGAATCCAGACCTATCTGACTAGTTTCTAGGTAAACAGTGTAGATTATTTAGGCCTATTAAAATTTAATTTCGAACTCACTTGTTATTGGTTAGTGATGAAGTCTTTCAAATTGTACTAGACTCTAGATCTAGATCTATTGTCTTCTTGACTTAAAAATAAAGTCAAGTAAAAGTTTAGGCCTAAGTACTAGATCTAAGTAGTAAGTACTAAGTAGTAGTAAGTAGTAGATTCTAAATATTTATTATTTACTATTTAGGCCTACTAATACTAAATATTAAAATAAGTAAATAAAAGTCTAGACTCCTCTAAGTCGTTGTAAGCCACTTTCACTTTCTGCTTTTGATTGTGATTTGTGAAGTAAGAGTAGTAAGACGTGGAAGAAGCTCTTTCACTTTTAAAATCTAATCTAGATTCTAGACCTAACTTTTTGTGACTTTGATCACACTTCAAGGCAGGCCTTCTTCTTAGAGTGTCTTAGACTTAGAGTTAGTAGAGTACATTTATTTAGCAGTTACTAACTAGAATCTGATATCTAGCTTTCTTTCAGTTTTATTGCCAACAAGATCTACTAGATGTATAGATTAGATAAGATTTTAGATCATTCTTGTGAAAAAGTAGGTCTACTGTGTAGATTAGGTCTAGGAAGATAGAGATTTAAGTCTGTTTCTGTTTAGAAAAAAAGTTGATCTAGCAAGAGTCAGTGGCGGTGCTGAGGATCAGGCTGGGTGCTGCCATCATTAAAAGACCTGATGGAGGGCTTTCTCTTCTCCCCCACCCCAAAACATAAGCAGTTTTTTTGCTGGGAATGACAGATATCAAAAGTGTGGGAAATTAGTAATCACTTTCACTGGGATGAATAAAATCTTTGCTAAATCTTTGAAAGTTGAGAACGCCCCTAAATGCTAATCTCTGATGAATTGTGTTAAAAGTGGTTAAAATAACTTAATGGTTGGCTGTTAAAAACTGCAAAACGGTTCAAAACCTTATTTTGATTCCTATATTCTGTTTCTTAAAAAATTGTGTTAGGCTCAAGTGAGAATATTATTGCCTTACGACTGTAGCAATGTTTATTTCTGTTTGTTTATTTACAGATTGTGCACATTTAAACATGGCAAGCTCTGAACCTCCTTTAGAGAAACTCTCTGACCAGTTCCTAAATTGCTCTTTATGTTTTGAGCAGTTTGTAGAGCCCAAAGTCCTGCCCTGTCAGCACACCTTCTGTTTACTTTGCTTGAGAAGGTATGCAGCTCTACGGGGGTTGGACGCCTCCCTCCCATGCCCTCTCTGCAAGGAAATGTTTACCATTCCTGGTAACGATGTGGCTAATCTTAAAAACAATTTCTTTATTGTCAGTTTGCTACATTTTGTGGCAGACTCTAAAAAAATACCTGCCAGGAGTGATTTAGGGCCGGTGGAGAAGGCGAGCACTTGTGAACAAAACCAGACAGATAAGGTGGCCACAGCCACATGTGGTGCCTGCAATGACCTCTCACCTCTAAACAGTTTCTGTGAGCACTGCTCGATATGGTTGTGTGTCACATGTAGCAAGTCTCACTCTCGCCTGCCCTTGACCTCAACTCACCCATTGCTCAGCATGGATGACGTAAACATCAAGTGTAAGACTCTGGTAGAAATTGGTGAGAAGGCCTTGCACGAGCTAGAGATGACCAACACAGAGAAGCAAGATATTCTTTTTGCACAAATCCAACAAATCCCAGAAAATATTTTTTCACTTCGCCAGAAAATAAGTTCAGCAGCTGAAGAAGCTCAGAAAATTATCAGCGAAAAAGTGTCAAATTTTCTTCAACAGGTGGATGAATTTCAGAGGGAAGAGGAGAGAAACTTGTCAGAGAAGCTTGACGCAGTAGAGGAGACAAGGAAGGAGTTGGAGAGGCTGCAGACCATGTTAGGGAAAGTTAAAATTTCCAATGATGGGTTTCAAAACCAGGTGGCCATCAAAACGGTAGAGAACTTTTTAAATGGGTTGACATCATCCAACTTGAAATGGAGCCAGGCTCGATTGAGCTTGGCTTTCAACACTAACACAAACTTTTTTCAGGAGTTGAACAACCTTGAACTTGGCCAACTGAGGTCTATAACAGACAAATCTATGCCTCTCCTTTTTTTAAATGAAAGGGCCCTGACTCTACATAAGATAGAAAGACTTACTGAGAGAGAATACATTAGTGCTCTTGCTATCAATAAATTTGCTGAGAAGTTCGTCGTCACCAGCAATCAAACTGTCGTTGTATTTAAACCAGACTCTCGAATCCCTCGTTCATTTGTGTCACCACTGTGTGAAAGAGTTGTCAACAAGCCTTGGGGTATCGCCTACTCTGAAGCAGACGGTCATGTCTTCATCTCTGAAGCAGGCCGACATGAAGGGGACGGGGCTGTCATCTCCTACAGCCGAGATGGGAAGTACCACTCAGTTATAGCGTCAGGTCTTACCCTACCTCGAGGCATTGCAGTTTACAAAAGTTTTATTTTCGTCTGCGATCAGTTAGATAAATGTGTCTATATATTAAACTTTTTTGGTAAAATTATCCGAGTTTTAAAAAAAACAGCAGACGGCAAAAATCTCTTCACGGCCCCAATGTTTGTTTCTGTTGGTAAATCAGGTCGCCTGGCTGTGTCAGATGACTGTAGGTGTGTCAAAGTGTTTGACCAGGATTGTAACCTGCTGTTCACGTACATCTCTCAGTTACCAGACTCAGAGTTCTGGGATGTCCACGTGACAAAGAATAACGACGTCATTGTGTGTGACTGGAGGCACGGCCTGCACAAAATTTCCTCTCATTTTAAAAGCAACGGCTTGGTTAGGACTGAGAGCAGTGCCCTGATAGAGCCTTCAGCACTTGCTACTTTAGAAAATGGTAACTCCATTTACATTGGAACATGTAATGGGGATATCTTTTCTGCAATTTAATTTTTTTTTTATTTGAAAAGAACTGAGACTAGAATCTAGTTGTATCATCTTTGAGTGAACTGTTTTTGTAAACCTTGTTGAGTTTTGTTTTAAACCTTATCAAAAGCTTTTGTGATGTCAGATGTTTTTAAACTAGTCTAACAATGTATTTTTATGTCCAAGTCGGCAACTGAATCCTATTGAATGGAAATCTTAGATTGTTAATTAGCAAAAACATAACCTAGATTCTATACTGATTTATAAAGATGGGGCATGTTGAGATTAAAAGATTTATAAGAGAGAATTGTTGGAAAAGTGGGAAAACTATTTTTCTTATGAGTCGTTAAACAAAGGGTGACATTGATGCAAAACCTTCTGGGAAATTTTTGTTACCCATTAAAGAATGTTATTAAGGAATGTATGAATTTATATACATAATACCATAAAAATATATACCTATAAATATACAAGTGTGTTCCATGCAAGTTAGTAAACTTATATCAAGTTGGCACCCATTTACTCTAGTTGGCTGTGGGGTGTTTAAATTTTATTTTATTTATCTTAACCTATTTTAAAACTTTTAAATACAACAAATGCTGTATACCCAATTGTGATTTTTGTTTTTAAATACTGAACCTACTTATATAAGTAGAAAAATTAATTTATTTTTTATTGAGGGGTAAACTGTCCCAACTATATTAGTATTTTTAGTTTCTTGTATGACTGAGTCTACCACAGTAATGGGAGACAACAAATGCTGGTTATTTAAACTTTATTCTGCATTTCAGCTACATAGTACTCAGTAGTGAATAAGAAAACGGTTAAATGTTAAGAAAATATTTCTTATGAAAGTATATTTTTTTTTTAACTTTTAATTGAAATTAATCAAAACATTTTCACTATTTTCCCAAGAAATTCAGTAAAATATTTTAATTTACTATGACTTTAAATTGATTGGAGGTCTACATTTACATGCCTCCTTATTTGTATTTGTTGTACAGCCCTTATTGTAGTCTAAGGTTACTGTTAAGTTAATGTTAGATTTAAGCCCTGTTTGGTTGTTTAAAGTTGAATGTAAGGTACAAGCCCTGTTTTGCTAAGGTTACTGTTAGGTTAATTTTAGGATGAATTCTTTCATTTTAAAGTTTAATCAATAATAGGATCTGTGCCTAGGGGAGAAATAATAATTAGAATTGCTTAGATCACAAGGTAAGAGTCCTCTATTGTTACTTAGATCAAAAGTGAGGGTTAGCTGGTGTTACTAAGACGACATAGTGAACTTTTATGTAAAGTAGATGTTATGTTGAGTTTATGGATGATGTACATCCACATTCATGTCTTTTACATCTAAAGTTATTGTAGACATGTGATATTTTTGCTACTGTATTTTGTGTATTTAATTTTTGTGAATAAACTTGTATCTCTTCCGGTATGTTTGTTTATTTATTTTTTTAACGTTTGTACTGTCTTGTTTAATGGTTGAGAAATTCTAAGTCTGTTGTAAACAAGTGTTTCCCTTTAGTCATGTTTGGTCAGGAAAGTTGCATGGCAAGTGTAAGTTAGTAGAATTTAAATCACTGTGGTCAGCAGTGTTGACATCAGTAGACTTGTGGTCAGCTGTGTTGACATCAGTAGACTTGTGGTCAGCAGTGTTGAGATCAGTAGACTTGTGTTCAGCTGTGTTGAGATCAGTAGACTTGTGGTCAGCTGTGTTGAGATCAGTAGACTTGTGGTCAGCTGTGTTGAGATCAGTAGACTTGCGGTCAGCTGTGTTGAGATCAGTAGACTTGTGGTCAGCTGTGTTGAGATCAGTAGACTTGTGGTCAGCTGTGTTGAGATCAGTAGACTTGTGGTCAGCTGTGTTGAGATCAGTAGACTTGTGGTCAGCTGTGTTGACATCAGTAGACTTGTGGTCAGCTTTTTGGTCAGCTGTGTTGAGATCACTAGACTTGTGGTCAGCTTTTTGGTTAGCTGTGTTGAGATCAGTAGACTTGTGGTCAGCTGTGTTGAGATCAGTAGACTTGCGGTCAGCTGTGTTGAGATCAGTAGACTTGCGGTCAGCTGTGTTGAGATTAGTAGACTTGTGGTCAGCTGTGTTGAGATCAGTAGACTTGTGGTCAGCTGTGTTGAGATCAGTAGACTTGCGGTCAGCTGTGTTGAGATCAGTAGACTTGTGGTCAGCTGTGTTGAGATCAGTAGACTTGCGGTCAGCTGTGTTCAGATCAGTAGACTTGTGGTCAGCTGTGTTGAGATCAGTAGACTTGTGGTCAGCTGTGTTGAGATCAGTAGACTTGTGGTCAGCTGTGTTGAGATCAGTAGACTTGTGGTCAGCTGTGTTGAGATCAGTAGACTTGTGGTCAGCTGTGTTGAGATCAATAGACTTGTGGTCAGCAGTGTTGAGATCAGTAGACTTGTGGTCAGCTGTGTTGAGATCAGTAGACTTGCGGTCAGCTGTGTTGAGATCAATAGACTTGTGGTCAGCAGTGTTGAGATCAGTAGACTTGTGGTCAGCTGTGTTGAGATCAGTAGACTTGCGGTCAGCTGTGTTGAGATCAGTAGACTTGTGGTCAGCTGTGTTGACATCAGTAGACATGTGGTCAGCTGTGTTGAGATCAGTAGACTTGTGGTCAGCTGTGTTGAGATCAGTAGACTTGTGGTCAGCTGTGTTGAGATCAGTAGACTTGTGGTCAGCTGTGTTGAGATCAGTAGACTTGTGGTCAGCTGTGTTGACATCAGTAGACTTGTGGTCAGCTGTGTTGACATCAGTAGACTTGTGGTCAACCAAATTCCCACCACTACACATCAGCACCCAGTTATCGCCATAGAAAGTCAAGCCTTCATCTGGTCAAACAAAAACATCACATTTCTTGTTTTGACCAAAAATATCACATTTTCTGTTTTGACCAAAAATACTGTTTAGTCATTGGTCAATTATTTCGCCCTAATCTACTGTTGGCTAGGAATTGATTACTTCCCTTTCTTCGCCGAGTTCCAGGAAGTTGAAATCGTGACTGTTGTTAGTCATAGAGTTGTTCCCCTTACCCCTAGTGGGGAAACTACACGGGAGCACTTAGTCCCTAGAGAGTTAGTTCAGAGACCAGTTGCCCATTTCTGTCTTGACAAAATTGACTGGAAAACACCGTGTTATGACGGGGAAATTATTTCCGTTTGTTGCAAGGCGTCAAATAAATCATTAAAAAATGTTAATTATCAATTTAGAACAGCGTTTCCAACCTTTGTTACTGCGCCTCCTTTAAACAAGTTAATAAAAAGTCTAGTGACAATTTAAGCGCAATTTCCTTATGTTATCCATAACAATGTTTAATTTTTTGTGACCGAACGAAAGGATATTTTTTTTGCACTAAAAAAAAGACAACTATATTAACCTATATCAACGGAAATAGTTTTATTTTAACGAGTAGGCCTACACGATGCTCAGTTTTTTTTTTTTAAAAGTAGTAAATATCATCCTAGGCCTACACAATGCTCAGTTTAAAAAAGTAGTAAATATTTTTTTGTGACCGAACGAAAGGATATTTTTGAAAACTTTCTTCGGCAATATTGTTCTAAATTATGGCAGAAATTGATTGGTAAATGTTTCAAGTCGCTAAGTGGTCTGGTTGCCGAGATATGGGCCAAAAACTGCATTTTTTCGAGGTTTTTTGGCTTTTCCGGGAAATCCAGGAAGGAATTCCGGGAATTTTTTTGGCCCACAATCATTCTCGGAACTTGCTTAACATATTTGCTTTGGAACTAGTCCTCGATATTGCTTCGTTGAGGAGGAGATACGACTTAAAGCTGCGGACACACATCCATCCATCCATCACCAGAAATGACGAGTTAATAATCGCAATTGTCCAGTATGGAAATTGCGCTAAAAAATAATGGGTTTAATCTGGTCTCTATCTCCTTGCGTTAAACATAGATTTTTTGTCTGAATGTTTAGGCCTATAGTTTTCAAGTAGAACGATAACCCTTATTATTCTTAACGTGCTAACAGTTTGTACTGGAACAATTTTGAAACGTAGAAAGGAAAAGAGTACCTCAGACACTAATCCGTGCCTCCCCTAGTACTAGTCCACACCCCCGTCAGCACTAGTCCGCGCCTCCCCTAGCACTAGTCCACACCTCCCCTAGCACTAATATATCTCTAGCACTAATCCGTGCCTCCCCTAGCACTAGTCCACACCCCCGTCGGCACTAGTCCGCGCCTCCCATAGCACTAATCCGTGCCTCCCCTAGCACTAGTCTGCACCTCCCCTAGCACTAGTCCACACCCCGTCAGCACTAGTCCACACCCCGTCAGCACTAGTCCACACCCCCGTCAGCACTAGTCCGCGCCTCCCCTAGCACTAATATATCTCTAGCACTAATCCGTGCCTCCCCTAGCACTAGTCCACACCCCCGTCGGCACTAGTCCGCGCCTCCCCTAGCACTAATATATCTCTAGCACTAATCCGTGCCTCCCCTAGCACTAGTCCACACCCCCGTCGGCACTAGTCCGCGCCTCCCCAGGGAGTATGGAAATTGGAAACCGTTGATTTATAATCTGTCTGAAACTAAATGTGTAGGCCTATGTGGGTAGAGTGACTAAGTCCCTTATGTCCGGCAGACATGTGCTCACCGTATGCCAGCATTGTCACGTACTTATAGCCCTTTGTCAGAAGTATTTTATCTTTGCTGGACAGTGTCATATCAACTTTGGAAGAATCAATTTCATGGACATTGGCTCCATGCTTGGCCACCGCCCACAGAAGCTGATAGAAAGTATTGATTTATTATGCAGTAGTATTGTATAACGTGTCGGCCCACGCAAATACGTAGTGATGTGTTGACTTTCAATCAAACAGTGTACCACGTGACGGCTGTCCTAAGCCATACCATAGTGTTAGCCAGGGTTGTGGTGATTTAGACCAGGGGTCTCCAAACTACGGCCCGCGATGTCCTCTCATCCGGCCCGCGGAGATCTTTTTGTCCACGGGAAAAAAACGTTTGTTGGTGATGGCTGAGGAAATTTGCCCAGAAAAATCAATGACAAGCATGGAAGAAACTGGCCCCCGAACTGAAATTTGATAGTTAATGCGGCCCTCGGACTGAAAAGATTGGAGACCCCTGATTTAGACAGTTGGCCTTGGTGGTCAAGCGTGCTGGTCACCGCTGATCATCATCTGATTGTTGCTGGCGTAAGTCTACAACATCACACACCCAAGACATTTATGCATTCAGCTGTTAATTTAAACAGACATTGGTGCATTCAGCTGTTAATTTTAACAAAGACATTGATGCATTCAGCTGTTAATTTTAACAGAGGCATTGATGCATTCAGCTTTTAATTTTAACAGAGGCATTAATGCATTCAGCTGTTAATTTTAACAGAGGCATTAATGCATTCAGCTGTTAATTTTAACAAAGGCATTAATGCATTCAGCTTTTAATTTTAACAGAGGCATTAATGCATTCAGCTGTTAATTTAAACAAAGTTACCAAATCAGCATCATCACTCTACCTCACACTGGTAAGTTAATTACATAGTCGAAAAGGTCGTGAAATAATGTCGTGTAAAGGGGGGGGGGGGGTCTTCGATGGTCAGATCGTGTGTGTGTGTGTGGAGGGGGGGGGGGTCATTGATGGTCAGGTCTTGTGTCTGGAGTTAGTTTTACTCATGAACACATTAGAGTCAACGAACAATGTCAAGTAGCACCTGTTTTTACGATGGTTCGTTTGATGAACGTCATCGTTATGACTTGAACAATATTCTCAAACTCGAGATCCAACGTTAATTTAATTTGAGAAAAGGTTAAATAGAATTTGACGCGTTCTTGCTTTTGTGTATTTTTAAGCAGTTTGTAATTTTGTTTATTTTAACCTCAGATTTAAACTACATTGCCTGTGGTTCATGAATTGTTCTTGCACAGACGTTTTTGAATTTCAATACAAACTAATTTTTTTCCACTTCTTTTGACGTGACTCAAATTGTAACGCGATGAATGTACATGTCTAAGGTTACTCTCGTTGATTACATGAGTTTGTTACCCTTTCGTCCTGATATAAATAGTACAGACGTAGTAGAGTTTATCTGTTTCTATGATCACGGCATAGGCGTCGCGAGCCGGGGGGGGGGGGTGCGGACCGCATCGGGTGACACCATTTAGGGGGGTGACACCAAGACAGAAAAATTGCAAGATTTATAGAATAATATTTTTTTTGCCACTTCAATGAATGGTTAATTAAGTTAAAAAAAAGGGGGGGGGGGGGGCACCTTGACGTAAACATGCTAACTATAGAGAAGACAATACTACACTCAGCAGTATTAACAACCGACTATAGATAAACATCGTTTGTATTAAATGTGAACAGTTTAAAGCTTTTACCGGGGGAGGGGTGACACTAAAAGGAAAATTTACTGAGAAAAAAAAGGGCGGGGATAGATACCATGAGGTGCCTCACCGGGTGACACCCGACCTAGTGACGCCACTGGGCGCATTTACTTCCCCTTGGTCAGATACCTATCAAGGGAATGTTCTAGACTTGATTCGGAGATTCCACTTTCGGGTTAGCAGTAGAGCACTCTACCCACCGGCCCGTCACATGCAAGTTGAATGGTTATTTTTATTGTTGGTTTTAGACGACAAGAACTTGAAGTCGTGCTACATTCAGTATAACATACAGTTGGTTTTGTGAATATTCTGTTTGAACACCTTTCAATGAATGGCAACCCGTTTTGTTTGAACCACCTTTCAATGAATCGCAACCTGTTTTTATTGAACCACTTTTCAATGAATGGCAACCCGTTTAGTTTGAACCACCTTTAAATGAATGGCAACCCGTTTACTTTGAACCTCCTTTCAATGAACCGCAAACCGTTTAGTTAAAACCAACTTTCAATGAAATGGCAACCCGTTTAGTTTAAACCACCTTTCAATGAACCGCAACCCGTTTAGTTTGAACCACCTTTAAATGAATCGCTACCCGTTTTGTATGAACCACCTTTAAATGAATCGCAACCCGTTTAGTTTGAACCACCTTTCAATGAATGGCAACCCCACCAGGTATTAAAACCCACTCAGGGAGACAGAAAACTGGCCAATCAGAGCCGCTACAGTCACGTGCGAAACGACGGCGCGTGCGTGTGTGCTGATTGGTCAGGTAGGTCGGAGGCGATACTCGAAATGGCTTTCCAAATAAGGTTGTAAGAAACTGTTGCCACGTAGTGCTGACGAACTGGGATGAGTGTTGGTTAAAAGTTCGCTACCCAGGGAGAATTATTTTAAAATTAAGTGAAAACTCAGGCGGCTCAGTGGAGAAATTTGAGTACGATCAACTCAGCGCTAGACCGTCAATACTCGGACTACTGAAGACATGGGCAAGTTTCAAATGGAGCGGTGAGTAAGATTTCCGTTTTTGACAAAGTAGGGAGTAAGAATTATGGAACATTTTTCATCTGGGTTTAATTGGGGATGTACATATTTTTAAAGGGGGGGGGGGGGTTGACACGTTAATTAAAGAAAAAAAGACTTATCTTGTCAAGGCTTATCTTGTATCCGCTTATAGTATATCTGCATGTCAATACCTATTTTGTTTCCGCCTGTCAAGACTAATTCTGTATTCATCTGTGAAGGCTTATCTTGTATCAGCCAGTTTAGACTTATCTTGTATCCATCTGCTTAAACTGTATCCACCAGTCAATGTTTCTAGTATCCTCCTGTCAAATTGTATCTTGTATTCAGCTGGAAATGCTTGTCTTTATACCCACATATCAAAACTTATATTGTATCCGACCGTCATCGCTTATCTTGTATCCATCTTTAATCTTCCTACCGCAATTCCATATATTTTTACTTTCTCGTATATACGAAGTATAGAGAAAGTCTTGTAATCGTGCAAAAAAAAAATCGAGATTTGTACGTTTTACACCTCACTGATACGGAAAAACATAATTTTGCAATCTTGTCCGTATGTCTGTGTGTCTGTCTGTGTGTCTGTCTGTGTGTCTGTCTGTCTGTCAGTGTTTCTTCCAGACTTTTTTCTCCGGGGGGGCACTTGAAATCTTCGGGGGGGCGGTAAACTTTCTTCGGGGGGGCGGACACTGTTAAAAGTATATATTTTCTATATAAATTATATAAATTTCATTTCGTTCGGGGGGGCGGTAAAAATTTTTCGGGGGGGCAAAGCCCCCCCGAAGAGATGCCTGGAAGAAACTCTGCTGTCTGTCCGTGTGTAAACACGACAACTTGAGTACCGTTACTGCTAGGTTGATGAAATTTCATATATAAGTATTTTATCAAAATCGTAGATCCGTATCAACTTTTGAGCGATTTCCGATAACCGGAAGTGGTACTTTTCCTACTTTGAAATTTTCAAAAGCCTATAACTTGAGTACTATTTCAGATAGATAAACGAAATTTCACATGTAAGTAAAAAATCTAATTCTCTACCTTCTGTTAAATTTTGAGTAATTTCCGTTGACCGGAAGTAGTAATTTACGCTACTTCCGATTTCTCAAAAAACTAATGTAAATTTTAAAAGTACTAATAATATTGCGCACTATTATGCGCTTTTTTATTTGGCGTTCACTTGGTGTGCAATTAATTTTTCTACGAGATTTTATTCTATTTTTAAAACTTTAAGTATTTAAAATGGATTAAAAATCATGTCTATAGCCCGAGTTCCCATCCCCTGTTATTTTATATAAGAATATTCGAGAAAGTTTAGGGGAGATCACTCCCGGTTTATTATCCTCGTGTCAAGGCTTATCTTTTATGCAACTGTCAATACTTATTTTGTAACCACATAGATAGTAAGGATAATTTTTTATCCGACTGTTACAGCTTATCTTGTATCCAACTGTCAATACTTATCCTGTAACCACATAGTAAGGATAATCTTGTATCCGCCTGTCAATGGTTGTTTTGTATCATTCTCTCAATACTTACCTTGTATCCACCTACAAGGCTAATCTTGTATACTTCTCTCAATACTTATCTTATATCTGCATATCAACGCTTATCTTGTATCTTTCTGTTAATACTTATATCCTCTATCTAGTTTAATCTTGTATTTCTCAGTCAGTACTTTTATTATATTCGCCTGTCAAGGCTAATCTTGTATCCGCCTATCAAGGCTAATCTTGTATCCACCTATCAAAGCTAATCTTGTATCCTTCTATCAAAGCTAATCTTGTATCCTTCTATCAAAGCTAATCTTGTATCCTTCTATCAAGTCTATTCTTGTATCTTTTTATCCAAGCTAATCTTGATAATTTTATCAAAGCTAATCTTGTATCCGCCTGTCAAGGCTACTCTGGTATCCTTTTATCAAAGCTAATCTTGTATCCACCTATCAAAGCTAATCTTTTATCCTTTTGTTAAAGCTAATCTTGTATCCTTCTATCAAAGCTAATCTTGTATCCGCCTATCAAAGCTAATCTTGTATCCACCTATCAAATCTAATCTTGTATCCGTTCATCAAAGTTAGTCTTTTATCCTTATATCAAGGTTAATCTTGTATCCGCCCATCAAAGCTTATCTTGTATCCTTCTATCAAAGCTAATCTTGTATCCGCCTATCAAGGCTAATCTTGTATCCGCGTATCAAGGCTAATATTGTATCCTTCTAACAAGGCTAATCTTGTATCCTTCTATCAAGGCTAATCTTGTATCCTTCTAACAAGGCTAATCTTGTATTCGCCTATCAAGGCTAATCTTGTAATCGCCTTTCAAAGATACTCTTGTATCCACCTATCAAGGCTCACTTCTGCGCCTTTACACCAAGGGAAATCAACGTGTAAACCCCTTCTATGGTTCATGTCCAGAATAAAAACCTTCTTTAACAATCACGTCTACAAAAAACTTCTTTCTATGAACAAATTGGGAAAAAGGGGGTCTGGAGTTAGCTTTAAAATGTGTGCCGGCTTTTTGTTGTGGAACAAAAACTTTTCTTTCCTCTGGAACTGCCAGCTTTTATTTTAATGGATTTATTTTGTTAAACCAATTATGACGTTTTAATTTTATAATCAGGAGTGCTTTTACAGAACCGCGATAAAAATGTTACAATTGTACAGCGTTGCAGACATTTTTTAAAAATGGCTTTTATTTTTGTTCTTAATTGTAATACTGAAGGGAATTTCCTCCAACATAATAAAGCATTTCTTGCCAACATTTTATGCGCTAAATGGACGTTGACTCTGATTTTATCCTGCTTTTCTTTCTGGGTGTGTTTCTAAAGCTTTTATCCACCCGATACCAATCTGCAAGGGACTTGTAGAGTTAGCAACCATGAGCACTCCTGCCAGAAAAAAACTAGACTGATTTGTTTCAACAGCTTGTACGAGCATATAACACAACTGGACACTGGGCAGTGATGTTTTAGTGGTTGAATAGATTTAACAACTTCACAAAAAATCAATTTTGTTTGTAGTAGACGTCACGGTTTTTCTGACGTTTTTTACCTCTCCCCTCCGTCACATGTCACACCTAAAATGACGTCAGACCTCACCCTACAACCACCCTCAGAATTGCTGTTTAATTTTTATTCAAAACATCGATATTTTTCCAAAATCTTGTCAGAACTCTGTCAACATAAAGTATTTTGATCAATTCCTATTACAGTTTATTAAAACCGTTTTCTAAAAAGCGAAATAACGGCTAAAACTCGTTTTCTAACATTGCTTTTTTATAATGCAAAAGTGTGACGTCACACCATCTGAACCCCCTCATCACACACCGTGACAAAATTAC